TTTTTTAAATAGAACTACCTTATGATCCATCAATTCCACTTCTGGGTATTTATCTGAAGAAATCCAAAACACTAATTTGAAAAGATATATGCACCTCTACTTCACTGCAGCACTATTTACAATAGCCAAGATATGGAAGCAACCTAAGTGTCCACTGATAGATGAATGGATAAAAAATATTGATATGTATATACAATGGAATATTACTCAGCCATAAAAAAGAAGGAAATCTTGCCATTTGCGACAACATGGATCTAGTTGGTATTATGTTAAATAAGTCAAACAGAGAAAGACAAATATTGGGTTGTCGGAAAAGTCATGACGTATTTTTTGTTTTTTTGTTGCAAAAATGCGTCTTGACTTTCCTGACAACCCAATACAATATGATTTCACTTATATGTGGAATTAAAAAAAAAATAAACGAACAAACAACAGAAACAAACTCATAGATTCAGAGAACAAACACAAGGTTGCCAGGTGAGGGGGGCTTTGGAGGACAGGTAGAAAAGGTGAAGGGATTAAGAAGTACCTATTGCCAGTTATAAATAAAGTCATGGGGATGTAAAGTACACCATAGGGAATATAGTCAATAATATTTTAATAAATATATATGGTGTCACGTGGGTACTAGGTTTATCAGAGTGATCATTTTGTATATAAATATCCAAGCATTACTTGTACACCTGAAACTAATGTAATATGTCAACTGTAATTTAAAAAAACAAACCCAGATGAATGGAGAAATAGAATGTGTTACAATGGAAAACTATTTAGCTTATAAAGGAAGGAAACTGACACATGCTACAACACAGATGATCTACAATATAGATGAGGACACTATCCTAAGTGAAATAAGCCAGTCACAAAAGACAAACACTGTGTGACTCCACTTCCATGAGGTTGCCAGAGTTGTCAAATTCCTAGAGACAGAAAGTAAAACGGTGGTTGCCAAGGGCTGGGAGAGTTTAATGGTTTAATGGGAACAGAGTTTCAGTTTGGGAAGATGAAAACAGTTCTGGAGATGGATGGAGGTGATGGCTGCACAACAGTATGAATGCACTTAATACTACAAAAATATACCCTTAAAAATGGTTAAGCTGGTAAATTTTATATGTATGTTACCAATTTAAAAAATCAAGAAAGCTGCGTGCCGAAGGGAAGAAGTAACAAGCTGGCTTCTTCTCTAAGGCAAAGGGTCCCTAACTTTATAAGGTAAGTTTCAAATGCAGTGGTCATGATTTTTCAAGTTCATCTGCACTGCTGCTCTCCTGCCTTGTGCTGGTCTTGTTTTACTAAGTTCCAATAGTCACTCTGGCTCCATGACCCTACCTTTGTATGGCTCATAGCACAGAAGGACGAGGTATACAGTGGGTGCATAATAAGTACTTATAAACTGTACTGGTTTTTTAATTGTAAAAGAGGGACATATTACCTCGGGGGGTCAGGGGAACAAGGTTTAAGGACGTTATTAAGACATGTGCTCAAAATGCAGTCCTCATTAAGGTTCCCCACAAGCCTGTCATTAGATGGGAAATTCAATTGTGATCTCCAGTAGGCAAAGTAAAGACAAATAGGCACCTGCCCACCAGGTTATGGAAATGGGGTTTACCTTATTATCTCCACCCGACACAGCCAGGATGTTGGCTGTGATGGACCAGCTCACGTGCCACACAACATCATTGAACTTGTGCAGTAATTTGGTGGACCATGTACTGCTTGAGGCATCATCACAGGTCCAAATGAAGACACGACCATCCTGAGAAAAGACAGGAGAGTCAGGAGATGAGGGCAGGGATCCTTCACTGGTGATATTCTCCCAATCTGGAGCCATACTGGACCTTTGCAGGAATAGGGTAGGGGATTCAGTACAAAGCATAGCCAAGGACCTCCTGGTATCCATAGCTCTGAAAGCCAAATTCCAGCCCAGTACCCTTGTTTTTATTCCTTTACCCCAAGAATACACTTCACATAGGTCAAGAGTCTCCCAGGTTCCTTTCCTCATATTGGTTTCAGGTATGTACTTTGTCTGTATTGCTAACTCAAATATTCTCTGGGGTTTTCCTTATGTCTGCCAAGTCATTTCTTTGTTTCAGCTCCCTCTGACTCTGTCTATACTTTCTCAACTAAATGGGTATGGCTGTCTAAAAACTAAGCTCAGTGGGCTGGCTGAGTGGCTTGTTGGTTAAGAGTTGGCTTGGGACGCCAGCTCTGAGCAGCAGGGCTGCCGATTCGAATCCCACATGAGGACCAGTGATGCTGTGCCCTCTACAGCTAAGATGGTGAACAACAGCTCAACCTGGAGCTGGGCTGCTGTGAGTCGCCGGCATAGGCTGCAGCAGAGCTGCAGTGAGCTACCGTGAGTGGCTGGCAGCCAGCGTGAGCTGCCGTCCAATGGCCGACGACCGATCTGCCTCACCCAGGAAGAGCGCAATGATAATACCAACATGGGTCAGTGAAGCGACGTCCTCCACAACTAGACTGAAGAACAAAAGGACAGTAATTTGTCTGTTCCCATTCCCTGATTCCACAATGCTTTTCCCTCCCCCAATTCCCCAATAAAATCTTAAAAAAAAATAAAAAATAAAAAATTAAAACTCAGCTCAGAGAATGAGAAGGGAGAAAAAAACCCCCCCAAACTCTCTCAAATACAGGACCAAGCCAAACAGGCTCAAATGATATAGGAGGCCTGGGCTTAGCGCTTGCCTATGGTGTTGGTAAATATATAAGAAAAGGCTTGCCCTTGGTATTTCCTTTGTGATTTGCCTACGAAGAGGGCAGTACATGAGTCCAAGGTCTCACAATTTACCATTGCCCTGGTCCTTGCTTGGGAACACACTCTCAGAATTGTACCTGGGCACCTCTACTGCCTACTCTCACCAGGGGTTAGGAGGGGAAACTGGTCCTGAATTTGGCTTTGCTCTTAGCTTAGTGGAGGTAAGCCATTTGTGGCTTCTGTTCAAGAGTTCACAGCATGATGACTGGCTCCACACGATCCCCTATTTGCACTGGTCCAAAGGTGCCTGTTGCCCTGCCTTGACCTTTCAAGGACTTTCTCCTAAGGAGACTAAGGGCTGATGAGACTTACTTGGAGATTAAACAACAAGGGACACTCATGGGTCTGAGCTGACCTGGGAGCAGCTGGCGATGGTGTTGGTGGGCAGGCCAATGGAGGGGGCCCAAGCCACATCTCGAACCCAGTCACTGTGTGCTTCCAGCTTGTGTTCCTCCTTCCACTGGCCGTCCTCCTCCTCCCTAGGAGGGAAAACCCAACAGGTAGAAGCCTAGGTGCCTTTCCCACACCTCCATTCCTTCCCACTCCCATAGGCTCCACAGGGACCAAGAAGCTATTCCATCTTTCTGATTTTATTCACTGAGCCTGTAGAATTTTATTCAGTTCACCAGCTATAACACTTTCTCTGCAGCCAAGTCAGCTCTAGCAGTTAGTAATTAGGTATCGAGTAAAAGTGCTTGAACAAGTTTTTTGTTTTTTAAAGGATGTCCTCTGACCGATTGAAAACAGTATTCTATAGGCAGGAGGGAAAAAGGCGATCCTGTTTCTTGTGAACTGTGGCTGAGTCATGGTAGGTAGGGTAGAAGGTAAGAAGTGTCCCCTTGAGAAGTCCACCAATCCCACTTACTTCCACAGCTTGACGAGGTTGTCACAGCCGCCTGAGGCAAACTTCTTGATGTAGTTGGGCTTCTGTCCTGATGGCTGGTCTATGAGGCTTCCAGGTACAACAGCAGGGGCCCAGCTGACAGCATTGCAGCCAATCTGTAAGGAGAGGGACTTGTGGTGACTTTGCCCTTTTGCTTTGCAACCGCACACTGCTTCAGCAGACCACAGGCTGCTGCTCATTTCCTCTCCAGTCCTCAGGACTGAATTATGAAGGACAGTTGTTTTGATGAACTAAGGATTAGCTGCTCACAATGCTCCTTCAAGGATTCCTAACAGTGCGTGTATTTTTCAGCACTATTCATTTAAAATAGGAATTAGGGACTCTCAGGAATTTAAGAAACAGAATATTTTTCAAACATGAAGGAAGGGCACAGATTCAGAAAACCACACGTAATAAATATATTGCTTAACAAATTATTCTACAGCACTGTTATAACTGCGACCAGGTCAAGAAATAAAACTGCCATTTACCTAGGAAGCCCTGTCATTATGTCCTACCTGAATCACAGCCCCCTCCCCTGTGAGTAACCATTATCCTGACTGCTCTTTTCCTGTTTTAGTTTTGTCATCCAAATGTGCATCCCTAGACACTACAGTTCAGTCTTGCCATTTATACCTTCTTTCTGGATTTTTTTTTTACATTTCCTAATTTATAGATTACTCCTCTAATCCTTTTTTTTCCTCACAATTTTTCTGTTGAAGCATCAGTCATCTGACCTGTAGTCTATAGGCTGGTTTTTGCTGTTGCACTCTCAGTTCAACATGTTCCCTTGAATTCCTGAAAATTGCCAGCTGGACCGAAGACTGGATCAGAATCGGGTTTGATGCCTTTGCCAAGACGACACCTGGTGGTGCATTTTTTCATCAGGAGGCACATATCAGGTTATCGCTCTCTGATATTAGCACCTGTCAATAATTTATGCCTCTCTTAATTTGCTAGGTGGTACAAAATGGTAATACTGTAATTCTACTCATTTCTGTCATAGTATGTCTTTGATAATTTTTCTACCTGGTATGACAAGATGTTCTAAGCTCATCTTGTACATTTCCTGCCTCAGACCTGGAATCAGCCATTTTCTCAAGAGCTCTGATTTCTTTTAGTGAGAAACTGTGTTCAAGACTTTAGTCTGGTGCTAGGGGTGCTCACTGCCACATTACTATTTATCTTATTTCACAGAACAGTCTCAGAACAATAATATTGCCAATGATTATTAAAATCATTTAATAAAGTTTGCAATGCTCTTCCCATTCTCTCCCTCCACCCCCGTGTTTTTATTTGGGGGGCGGGAGAGGAGGTGTTTGTGTGACTGGTGCCAACATTAAGAAATCTGGATCTGGGGCCAGCCGAGTGGCGCGATGGTTAGGAACTGGCTTGGGACGCTAGAGGGCCCCGGTTCAGATCCCACATATGAGGGCCAGTGACACTGCCCTCTACAGCTAAGATGCTGAACAACAGCTCAACCTGGAGCTGGGCTGCCGTAAGTCGCCAGCGACAGCATAGGCTGCAGCCCCTGCTGCAGTGGGTTGCCATGGGCTACCGTGTGTAACCAGCAGCCAGTGTGAGTGGCCAGCAGCTGCTGTGAGTGGCCGTCTAGAAGCCGGCGACTGATCTGCCTCACCTGGGAAGAGCACAATGATGGTGCCAACTTGGGCCAGTGAAGCAACGTCCTCCACAACTAGACTGAAGAACAAAAGGACAGCAACTTGTCTGTTCCCCTTCCCCAATTCCCCAGCGCTGTTCCCATCCCCCAATTCCCCAATAAAAATCTTTAAAAAAAAAGAAATTTGGATCTGCAGCTGCTGGTGTGCCACGCTGTTTTTAACCGTTGCACTCTGTCTACCTTAGCAGAGCACATGGTCGGTACATCCGATACTCTGCCTTCTAACCCTCCTTTAGTCTTTTTTTGTGGTGCATTTTATTTATTCACTCATTCATTAGTTTCAGGTGTAGAAAACATAATGATTAGATATTTACATACCTCACAAAATGATAACCCCAAAAAGTCTACTACTACCCCTCTGACATTGTACATAGGTATTACAGTATAATAGACTATATTCCCTATGCTGTACTTTATTTACATCCTGTGATTATACCCTCATTTAGTCTTAGATCTCTACAATTAACTGTATATTTATACAGGCATCCCTTGGAGATAGTGTGGGTTTGTTTCCAGACCACCACTATAAAGCAAGTACTGCAATAAAGCGAGTCATCCTCTTTTGGCTGGTGGAGGGTCTTCTTGCTTTCAATTTGTAAAAAAAGCATTATCAGTTAAGTTTGATATGCCTGTATAAATGTCTTTCTAGTCATTTTTGTTGTCTGAAGCTTATTCTCTAGTAGATACCTCAGGAAAGGCTCATGAAAACAATAGCCCTTGAGTTCTTGTATACCAATGACTATTTTTTATACTCCAAAATCAAAATTTAAAAACAGCTTTGAGGTATAATTGACATTAACTGCACATAAAGTACACAATTTGATGAACTTTGATATAGGTATACCCTGTAAATCAAGATAACAAACAAATCTCTAAGTGCTGAAAGAAGAAAACTTCCAACTAATATTCTACCTGACAGAGTTATCATTCAGAATTGAAGGAGATAAGAGTTTTCCAGATAAGCAAAAGTTAAGAGTTTGTCACGAGTAAACTGGCCTTACATGAAGAGTTAAAAGTGCTTCTTTAAGCTGACAAGAAAAGGTGCTAATTAGTAACAAGAAAACACATGAACGTATAAATTCCACTGGTAAAGATAAATATATAGTAAAGGTAGTGGATTAATTACTTACAGAGCAAGTATGAAAGTTAAAAGATGAAAGTAGTAAAAATAACTATCACTACAATAATTAGTTAAGGGATACAAAAGATAAAAAGGTGTAAAATGTGACATCAAAACCATAAAATGTGGGCAGGGACAGAGTAAAAACGTAGAGCTTTAGAATGCATTTAAACTTAAGTTATCATCTTAAAATAGACTGCTATAAACAGGTTGTTATATGTAAGCCTCATGGAAACCACAAAGCAAAAACCTATAGTAGATACACAGAAGATAATGAGAAAGGAATCTTAGCATGACACTAATGAAAGTCATCAAACCACAACAAAGAAGAGAGCAAGAGAAGGAACAGAGAGAAACTATAAAAAGTCAGAAAACAATTAAAATTGGCAATAAGCACATACCTATCAATAATTACTTTAAATGGACTAAATTCTCCAAAAGACATGATAGAGTGGATGAAAGGGCAAAAAACCAAGACCTGTCCATATGCTGCCTACAAGAGACTAACGTCAGATGTAAGGACACACAAGACTGAAAGTGAAGAGAGAGTACTGGAAGTCTCAGTCAGAGCAATTAGGCAAGAAAAAGAAGTAACAGGCATCTAAATTGAAAAGGAAGAAGTAAACCTGTCATGATTTACAGATGACATGACATTATGTATAGGAAACCCTATAGACTCCACCAAAAAAACTTTTAGAATTAACAAACTCAGTAAAGATGCAGGACAGAAAATCAACACACAAAAATCTTTTGTGTTTCTATACACAAAATTAAGAACTATCAGAAAAAAAAATCCCATTTACAACTGCATCAATAAGAATAAAATACCCAGGAATAAATTTAACCAAGGAAGTGAATGACCTGTACCTGAAAACTAGCAGATAATGATGAAAGAAATTAAAGAAGACACAAATAAATGGAAAAATATTCCATGCTCATGAATTGAAAGAATATTGTTAAAATGCCCATACTAACCCAAAGCAATCTATAGGTTCAATGCAATCATCAAAATTCCAATGGCAATTTTCAAAGAAACAGAAAAAAAAAATTTCTAAAATTTGTATGGAACAACGAAAGACCCCCCAATATCCAAAGCCATCTTGAGAAAGAAGAACAAAGCTGGCAGTACCAAGCTCCCTGATATCAAACTATATTACAAAGCCACAGTGATGAAAACAGTATGGTATTGGCATAAAAACAGACACACAGATCAATGGAATAGAATACAGAGCCCAGAAATAAACCCAAGCCAATATGGTCAATTAATTTGTGACAAAGGAACCAAGAATGTACAATGGGGAAAGCACAGTCTCTTTAATAAATGGTGTTGGAAAAACTGGACAGCCACATGCAAAAGAATGAAAGACAACTACTATCTTATATCATACACAAAAATTAATTCAAAATAGATTAAAGACTTGAATGTAAGACCTGAAACCATAAAACTCCTGGAAGAAAACAGAGGTAAGCTCCATGATATTAGTCTTGGCCATGATTTTCTGTATCTGACTCCAAAAGCAAAGGCAACAAAAGCAAAAATAAAGAAGTGGGACTACATCAAATTGAAATGCTTCTGCACAACAAAGAAAATCAATAAAATAAGGCAACCTACAGAACAGGAGAAAATATTTGCAAATCATATCTGATAAGTGGTTAATATCTAAAATATAAAAGAACTTATATAACTCAAGCAAAGAAGCAAACTGATTTAAAAATGGGCAGAAGATCTAAATAGACATTTTCCCAAAGACATAAAGATGGCCAACAAGTACATGAAAACAGTCAACATCAGTAATCATCAAGAATCATCAGAAGTGCAAATCAAAACCACAATAAGGTATCACCTCGCATCTGTTAGAACTGCTATCATCAAAAAGACCAGAAATAACAAATGTTGTTGAAGATGTGGAGAAAGGGAACCCCTATATTCTTGGTGGGAATGTAAATTGTTGCAGCCACTATAGAAAACAGTATGGAGGGCAGTTCATCAAAAAATAAAAAATAAGACTACCATATGACCCAGCAATCCCACTTTTGGGTATTTATCTGAAGAAAAGGAAAACACTAATTCAAAAAGCTATATGCACTCCATGTTCAATGTATTATTTATAACAGCCCAGATATGGAAACAATGTAAGTGTCCACTGATGGATGGATGAATGGATAAAGAAGATATGGTATATAAATACAATGGAACACTATTCAGATATAATAAAGAATGAAGTCTTGTCACTTGAGACAATGTGGATGAACCTTGAAGACATTATGCTAAATGAAATAAGTCAGATAGAAAGACAAATACTGTATGATCTCCTATGTGGAATGTAAAAAAAACTCAATGAAACAAAAAATTCCCAAACTCATAGATACAGAGAACAGATTGGTGGTTGCCAGAGGTGGGGGTTATGAGGTGGATGAAATGTATGAAGGGGTCAAAAGAAAGGTACAAATTTCCAGTTATAAAATAAATAAGTACTGGGGATGTAATGCACTGCATGGTGACTATAATTAATAAAACTGTGCTGTATATTTGAAAGTTGCTAAGAAAATAGATATTAAAAGTACTCATCACAAGAAAAAATAATTTTTTTTTGATAACTGTTATGGTGACAGATGTTAACTAGATTTATTGCAGTAATCATTTTTGCAATGTATATAAATATTGAATCATGTTTATGGCAATACCTCAATATAAAAAAATAAAGAAGTAATACAAAAATAAAACAATGTGTTTTATTGAAAAAAGGAGAGAACTAATATATCCATCACTTCCCAAAAGTTTCCTCAGGTCCTTTTGTAATCCATTTCTCCACACCTCATCCCCTGCTCAACTCCCTACAAACTCGGCAACCACTGACCTGCTGTCTCTATAGATTAGTTTGCTTTTTCTAGAATTTTACAACAAGGGAATCATAGTAGTATATACATTTTTATCTGATTTTTTTTTTCACTTAGCATAATGATTTTAAAATTCATTCATTTGTGTGTATCAACAATCATTTCTTTTTATTGCTAGGGAGCATTTCTATAGTAGGGATATACCACAATTAATTGATACAACACCCGTTGATACACATGTGTATTATCTCCAGGTTCGGCAATTAAAGCTGCTATGAACTTTTGTGTATGAGTGTGTGAACTGGAAAGCCAATTTTGCTGGTTATAAATCCTTAGCTCACATGTTCTTTCCTAGAGTATGTGTTCTTCTTCTTATGTATGGATCATTGCTGTTGACAAGTCTGAAGATAATCTAATTTTGTTTCTCTTGTAAGTCATCTGGCTCTTTTCCCCTAGATGTGCAAATGATTTTTTTATTTAAAGACCAATAACTTTATTAGAATTTTATCTTTTTGCTGGTGATTCTGGGTTGATGCTCTTAAGTGTAGGGTACTTTCTCAATATGTAGTAGTTTCAAATCTTTTTGTTTTTAAAGATAGTTTTCTTGAACTAGTTTTTAGTATTTGTTCTGTTTTCTTCTTGAAGGATTTCTATTATTCACGTGTTTGATCTTTGCCTGTCCAAACTTCTCATATCTTTTTAATATCTATATTTTTGATCTTTAAAATTTTCCTCTTTTTTACTGTTTTTCTTAAGGCATTATCTGTTGTGTTTATTTGCTCTTGTATTCCTTCTATTTTAATTTTTATTTTTGAAATAAATTTTTATTTTAATTCTTTCCTGAGTTCTGTCACCTCATTTCTGACTTTTTCTCATTTTGATTTATGCTGTTTTTTCATGTCTTATATAATTTAAAAAATTGTTTTGAAATAGTGGGTGACAGTTTGATTCTGTTTTATGGGCATGTCTTTCTTTCATTGTCTATAGGGATGTTATTCTGTGTATTATTTTTCTTCTTATAAAGGAAACTTTGTATGCGATTTCACATTAAATACTTTTCTATTATTTTTATGTGAAATTAGTTTTCCTGATGAAGTGAGGTTCAGGAAAGTCTAAGTTCAGAAGTCTCTGTTTTTGTGTAGTGTTAACATATGTGATGGCTTGCTTTCGGGATTTCCTGGCTTGTTCCCCTCCCCCACGTTGGTCTATATCCTCTCTTTCTTTTTGTATTCCTATCCAGCTCAATTCTGATTTCATTCCCAATTTCTCCTCACCAGGGAAGCAAGCCCTGGTGGGTCATAAGGGTCAAATTTCTCCAAGCCCCTTTAGTTTTTCTTATGGTGGGCCCCGGGCATGATATAATGCAAAACCCCTCCCAGTCAGTTCTCTAAGGAAGATATACAAATGGCCAATAAGCATGTGAAAAGGTGCTCAAGATCATTAGTCATTAGAGAACTGCAAACAAAACCACAATGAGACACCACTTCACACCCACTTGGACAGCTATAATCAAAAAGACAATTGTTGACAAGGATGTGGAGAAATGGCAACCCCCCTACATTGCTGGCAGGAATGTAAAATGGTGCAGTTAAATTGGAAAAGTTCAGCAATACCTCAAAAAGTTAAGCATAGTTTCCATATGACTCAGCATATGGAAATGCTAGGTGTATACACCTAGGTGTATACTCCAGAATATCTTCACATGAAAACCTGTACACGAATGTTCATAGGATTATTCATAACAGATGAAAAAGTCTATCAACTGATGAGTGAATAGCTAAACAAAATTATTTACACAATGGAATATTATTCAGCCATAAAAAGAAATGAAGCACTGATATATGCTATGATATGGATGAACCTTGAAAACATGCTAACTGAAAGAAGCCAGTCACAAAAGACCACACATTGTATGATTCCATTCATAGGAAATGTCCAGAATAGGCAAATTTATAGACAGAAGATAGATTACTGGTTCCCTAGGGTTGGGGGTAGGATGGAATGAAGAGTGACTGCTAATGGGGTTTCTTTTCAGGGTGATAAGATAGTTCTGGATATTAGCGGCAATAACTATAAAACTTTATGAATACAGCAGGTCCTCAAATAATGTCATTTCATTCAATGTTATAATGTTGATGAGGAAAAACCAAAATTCCTGGTCAGGTCCACTGTGTGAAGTCTGCACATTCTCACCATGTCTGTGTGGGTTTCCTCCCACATCCCAAAGATGTGCATGTTAGATTAACTGGCCTGTCTAAATTGTCCCAGTCTGAGTGTGGGTGTGTGTGTCAATGTGCCCTGCAATGGAAGGGTGTCCTGTACAAGGTGGGTTCCTGCCTCGTGTCCTGGACTGCCAGGATAGGTGGCCACCTGTGACAGTGAACTGGAATAAGCAGGTTGGAAAATAATTATCTTGTTTTTATTAATCCTTCTTAAACGTATGTACAGCTCACATATATTCTAATGTTTAATACTGAAGTGTTTTGGGTCTTAATTTAGAAGTTTGGTGATGGTTTTGTGACAAGAATTATGCCACAGGAGTTTAACTCTTGTTTATATCACTTAGCCTAAGGTAACACTGGTTTTGATATCCAAAGTTTCGCTTAAAGTTGCAGTTTCCAAGACCCCACCGGCAATGTTAAGTGAGGACTTACTGTATACTAAAAACGACAGAACTGTATACTTTTAAAAAAGGGTGAATTTTATGGTTATGCAAATTGTATCTTACTTTATCTTAAACTGGCCAGATAGGCTTGGCAGCAAACCTGCTGACTATTCTGGGGGGACTCCTCAGGTCTGTTAGAAGGTATCCCATGGCTTCCTTCCTCTTGCTCAGATACCAATACAATGCAGTCTTGGGGTTAGTGGTTCGTTCCTCTCTACTTGTATTTTGGAGTTTGTAGAAATACTTTGTTACCCAATTTTATTGTAAGTATTGCTCATGAGGTTTTGGTTTTGCTACCTAGTTGTTCTGCTGGTTAATGTAGATGTGGAAAGATTGAAAAACTATGATGCCACTTTCCATCTTGCCAGAACCTCTCAGCCTATTCATTTTTGCAAGGGCCCCAAGTAACAAGGCTCAGAGACAGGCTCCTGTGGCCTTGAGGGCTGGGCAGAGTGTGGATCCCCTGAATTAGGGGATACTAACTTCAATTTTCCATCTGGGTAGATTTCAGAAGTGTTTGGGACCATCAAAGCTGGAGCTGCTGTGTAGAGAGAAGTCAGACAGATTCTAGGGTTCTAACCCTGGCACAGTGCCGTCTTTAAGTCACTTACTTTTTCTGAGCCTCATTTACCGCAACATAAAATGGGACAAGGACTGCTTACCTTGAAAATCTGTACACTTGTTAGTTTCTTCTTTTGTTCACCAACATTTATAAGGATTACATGACAAATAGTTGGAGGTCAAGAAATGTGTTTGTCCCCTACTGTCCACAGTGCTTTCTTGACTGTTTCAATCTTAATGTTCAATGCCTAGAAGTACAGTAAATTGAACTTCTATGATGCTTTCTATAACTCAGTTCTAGGGGTCCCAATGACTACCAAAGGCACGTCAACTTGAAGTCTCTATAGCAAAGGTGGCAGGTAGGCAGGCCGCTGCTGCCACCTTGCCAGTGGTTCTCCCAACTTAGGAGCTTGCAAGGAGGACCAGTGCTAAAAGAGGTTGGAACAGCCTGGCCTCCCTGGATGCAGCCTGTCTGGCTTCAAAGCAGAGGCTCCAAGCTGCTCTACCAAGCATGTCTGATCAGCAGCCCCTGCCCTGGGCCACGGCACAGCAGCGACTCTACTCCTGCTCCTCTCTAGGGAGACAGGAGACACATGACAAGTCAGCCATGCTACCTTCTACATGCAGGCAGGATCTGGACTTACTGTGTGAGCATTGTTGATCTTCTTCACTTCCCACTGGCCCTCCCCAGTGTAGGTCAGCAGGGAGATGGCCCCATCTGAACTCCCACAGGCCAGGATCAGGCCGTAGTCATGGGGGGCCCAGCACACAGAGTTCACTGCAGGGAGGAGGGAGGCACAGTGAGAAGACTTTGATTTTCCAGATTTACCATGTTACTCAATTTCTAAGAAAAAAATTGCAGGGATCACCAGGGGGAAGTTGGATAGAAATCTGAGAATAAAGGCCAATACCTAAAAAGAACAAGCTTAAAAAGTCTGTATATTGTCTTTGCTTTTCTCATTTTGCTTTGTTTAGACTGGCTTTAGGTCTTAGGGCCTTACCTCCCCATGGAAAGACTAGCAGAAAAGCCAACCAAAGCCCAAGGAACAAACAAGAAGCATCACAAGGGGAAAAGAACCAGAGTGTTAGCCAGGACCGAGGCCTTTCTCACCCAAGGGCCCCACACCCGCCTTCTCCTGCCACGATCAGTGTACCTGAGGAGTCGTGTCCCGTGTGCTCATGTGTCTTCTCCCAGGTGCCGTTTTCCTCTTTCCAGATAATGACTTTCCGGTCATAGGAGCAGGATGCCAGGATATTGCCATACATGGGGTGGGCCCAGGCCACTTGCCACACAGGACCCTCATGACTGCAAGAGGAGAGGACAGAGGCTGCTCAGATGGGCCAGAGGAACCCACAGTGCTGTCAGCCATTACTTTGGACAGAACTGACTGGCTTCCTTGGTAGGCAGAGATGGCATCTCAGGACAGAACTGCCTAAGAATTTCAAAAGGGAGAGTCATAGACTGTCACTGCCAAAAGGGACCTTCATTGCAGTGAGGATCTTGAGGCTCAGAAGTCAGAGAGGCTTTGAAAGCAAGTCAGGACTCTAATAAGTTAGCCTCTCTGTCCTGATCCAGCAGAACCCTCATTTGCCCCAGATTGCAGCCAGCACCACCTACACCTACTGTCATCATCAGAGTCACTGATCTAGGTTTTGCACCCACAAATGCTAAGTATCTGTAGAGTGAATTGTTATTTATCCTTCCAGATAGTCAACTTCTTGAGGCAGTATCTGTTTCATTTTGATATTTTTCACTACTCTCTGAATTTGTTCGAAAGGCATGTATATCTCTCCCCTCTCTTCTGATTTTTATGTATTCACATGCTAAGTATTGTCTGAGCACATAACCTGTGCTGGGTTTGGTGCTGGGGCCATCTCTGGTCGAGGGAAGGGTGGGCACCCAGCATACCAGAATTAGCTTAGCTTAAAGGTGATGGGCCGGGCTCTTTCATACCCACTTCCCATTCACCGGATGCTTTACTTCTAGGCAAGGACCATCTTCTACATGACTTAGTCTCTTAATGGAGATGTCACTTCTTTCATACAGTGGTCATGAGGGGCAGTATTTGTGATAACTCATGTACAGCTTAGTACAGTGCTTGGTAGAAGAAAAAACAAAACAAAACACCAAACACCCAATGAGTGTTCGTTATTACTGCTGTTCCTTGTTCACTCCTTTACCCCCAAGGCTGCAGGCACTAAAAGTCTCCTCCCCCCTCTGGCTGGACAGTACATTCCTAGTCCCTACAAAGGAGCTGCTAATGAAACTCTCAGTACTCAAATGTTGTACACCTAGTATAGATTTAACCTAGGTAAAAAAGAATGAGGGCGTGAATTTATCCCTCCAGTATTTCACATCTTTCAAGCATGACAAAAACACAGAGCAGAGAGGACTGCATGACAGCTGACATGACTGCCTCTGCCAGGACTGGTAGTCAGGCCTCACCCCAGCAGCTCTCTGCTCAGCCAGGGGCTGCCTCACAGGGAAAGTGGCATATGGCTACTCAGTTACTCGATTCTCCATACTCAGGAAGAGGGGAACTTCCAGGCCTGTCTCCCCAAATGGCTACTGACTTAGTTACCGTATTTTGCTGTGTATAATGCGCCCTTTGTTGCCCAAATGTGTGAGGGAAAAATAAGGATGCGCATTATACATGGGTAGTATTAATTCTGTATCTATGTAAATGTTTTTAACTTTTATTTATGCTTATCAGTTAAAAGTATAACTCCAGAAATCAATAATATTTATATGCAAAATAATACACTGGAATATGACAATTGGTTTTGTTGAACTTATGATGAACTTGCAGGGACAAGAGTTCTTGGCCTTCTATGATGCATAAATATATACCGTAAATTTGTTACCAGTACATAGAATTTCTTGTACCTTGTATCTGTTCTTGTGTTTTGTAATTATTTGTCACATAAATTTCTTGTACCATAATATGTTAAAAAATAAATGCTAAAATTCCTTTAGAATACAAAAAACAAGTACCTAAATGTAAATAAATAAAAATTTGAATTAAAATGAAAGATTTTTTCCCCTGAAAGTTTGAGCCAAAAACGTGGATGCGCGTGCATTATACATGGTAGCACATTATACATGGTAAATATGGTATGTCTCCTTTAATTCAGTTAACAAACATGTCCTGAGTGCCTTCTTATCAGGGGTTCTTAATCTTTCTTGCACAGTCTGATAAAGGTTATGGTCCCTTCTTAGAATAATGGATAAAATGCACAGAGCTAGGATTAGAAAGAAACCCAATTATATTGAAATACAGTTATCAAAACATTCAAGAACAATTTATGACACAGTGACACATGTGCTTCTTTGTTAACACATTGTTACAAACTCTAGTGGTCTAATAAGCACTTTAATTTCAAAGGAGTAACAAGCATGAATGCTATTTTAAGAGCTACAACTGTAATGTGACATGAAAATATCTGTGATTTCTACTGGTAACAAAGAGATAGGTACTATGAATACTACTGTGGTTTCCAGCCTACATCCATAATTGAAAAAAATGCTAAATATCAGTGACTGAAATAAAGATATGATTTTTTCCCACTGCGCCAGTTCAACCCCAGAATTCTATCCACAGCACCCTTGGAGATCCATGGAACCCAGATTAAGAATCCCCATTTATTTGAAAGGCAGTGAACTGAGGGAAAGCAACAGAGATGTGGTCATAAAAACGAGAGCCTCTCGAATCTCAGTAGGGAGGAAGGGTAAATCAAACAGTTGTAAATACCTGCCATAGGCAAACAGGCAGAATCATGCGATTTATATAATTACTATTACATTCTTATATGACCACCCTCCAGTGACACTTAGATCATACTGGTTAAACTCGTTTAAAAAAAAAAAAAAAAAAAGGAAGTTTCCCACTTTTAAAAGTAGCAGTAACTACGGAAGGCTTGCTGCCAGCATGCTCTACCTGGGAGCAGCATCACCCCGTCTTGAGGGTGAGTGGTGAAGGCTCCCAGAAATAAACTCTCTCATCCAAGGTCTTCTCATGGGTATTTGGGTGGCAGAGCTGGGATTCACTCCTGGATCCATCAACCTGGGATGTTTACTTAGGGCAGCAGGCTGGCTGGGACCCCGTGTCGGTCTGCACTGCAGGGCTGCTGACTGGCTCTCAGGCTTTCCTGCTATTCCTGAAAAGCCCAACCACTCTCAGACTTTGCCAAGGGCTGGCGGCACTCACCCCCTGAGGTCTGCGATGAGGATCTGCCCTCCGTTGCGCACATCAAAGATTTTGACGGACCTGTCTGATGAGCAGGTTGCCAGGCGGGTACCATAGTAGTCCATCTGGGCATCGTGCTGCAAAGGGAGGACAGCTCAGGAAGCCTGAAGGCATAGGGTGAGGTGGGGTGGGGGGAGGTGTGGTGGAGCTGGGGGGGGGAATGGGGGAGCAGTCACCAGGACAGAGTCTAGTTTGGATCAGAATCTACCTGAAATTAATCTAACCTCAAAGAATCATCACTATCAGGCAAAGCTAGCATGTCAACACTCTCACTTCTCTGACGGGCAATGTGTTTCTGAAAGGGACAAGACAAACCATACCCAGCTACCTTAGACCCCTTATATACATGAGGGAAGTCCTTTTCCACCCTGTTCTGCAGGGTGGATATTAGAGAACAGCTGGCCTAGCCTTCCTCTTCTTCCTCCTTCCTCAGTCCCCACTGTGTTGAGGCTCTGTGGGTCACTGGGGAAGACTGCTGGAGGTTCAGCTCAGCCCCGGAACCCAGGCCTAATGCTGACCCAAAGGAGCAGGCCTCTGCCTGCCCACAGGCCCCGATCAGGTCCTCATGATGCACACTAACCCGGACATAGGGCTCCATTCAGACACGGGCTCCCTCCTCCACCCCTGGCCCTGGGTCCTTTGTGGGCCTTTGTTCCTGGGTTTTTACTTGACCTTTTTCCTAGCAGTGTGCCCAGCACTCCGGACTTTCCACTCTACTCATGCTTTAAATGTCGCTGGTCCCACCATGGATGAACCGACTTCCCCCATGCTGACGAGCCATCCAGGGCTGGCCCCTGCCCGCAGCTCCTTGTCCATCTAGGGTGATGGCTTTTCTGACCCACGATGCCTGCTGCCCTGCTGGACATTCTGGTCCCTCCTGTTTGCTGGCCCTGCCTATTCCAATAAATGACACTTTCTTCAGCTATCCCACCTTGGGGGTTTTAAGAACTATTAGTTGTCACTCTGTGGTCATCAGGAGCAGTTATACCCTTTCAATGGAAGCAGTCGCTCCATCTGCTTCAACATTCCTTCCTCACCTCTCCCCCCAAGGAAAACATCCTGATTCTTCTTTGGAAGTCAACTCTCCCTACTATTCCAGGTCTTGGCTTCTTGGAAGACAGTGCAGGCGCTAATATAGATTTTCTCTGCAAATGTATTTCTGAAGCACTTCTGCAGACTATCACACAGGTTGGGGGGAAACAGGGCACAGCACCTAACATTTAAATCCTATCTCCTCAGCTTATGTGTTGTGCAACCTTGAAAAACTACCTAGTTTCCTCGAGCCTCAATTACCTTACCTTAAAATGGGATTAATGATAGCATCTGCTTCAAGGGTTGTTATGAAGGTTAAATGAGACACTGAATGAAAAGTATTTAGCATGGGATCTGACATTTGGTGAGCATGCAGACGTTAGTCATTACTACTTTGCCTTATCTGTTCCTCAAACTGAACCACACAAGTAGGTAGCACATCCATTATTTTTCCCATTTTAGCTATGAGGAATCAAGGCTAGCTCAGAAGGGTTAAGAGACTGGCTAGGGAGTCTCAGATTAGATTTTTCTTACCCATGGTGCCACACTGTCTCCAAGGAGGTGTGTTCTTACTGCCAGACTACACATGGCTGCATCCAGGGAACATATACAACTCTGAGACCACACCACCTCTCAGAAGCCCAAAAGCAACGACTCGTGGACAGGAGCCCTGGGATGAAATGCTGTAAGCTGACTGACCTGGGTGGGTCTTGCTCAAAGGTTGCCTGGACTGCTTGGCCCTGCATGAAGCCGAGTCTGCATCTCTGTTGTCAGAAACTTTAACCTCTGGACCTTCTCCCACAGTCCTGTCCTCTTATGCTGAGGCCTACATTTGCCTTTCAGGAAACACCCTGCGTTAATGACTTCTGGTCCAAAGGGCCTTGTCGGGCCCTCTGTCTGCGGCTCTTCTGCCTGGCTCTGCCTTGGGCTTTTGCTGAGCCTGCCCGCTGCCTTCATATTGAGTCATCTTCCTAATCCTCTTCTTTTAACCCTCTTTCCAGTGGGGCTAAGAAATAGCAGCAGGAGGAAGACAGGTGGGAAGACTGTTGTCAAACCTCCATACCTACTCAACCTCCATCCCAGAGCAGGTTGCTTTGTTGGTCAGAAGGCTAAAAGCCTTGAGCCACAACCCATTCCCAGCTTCCTCCCACCAGGGTGACCAGATTGCCACAGCCCTGTTAAATCAGAGGGCATTATGGGAGACCGACTATACCTGAGGTTACAGTCTGACTGGCAAAGGCTGCAAAACCACACTGGACTCATGACTGATCAAAAGAAATGTTTTTCCCCAACAGAAATGCCCATGTTTACAGTGCATGAGGGAGAGCTAAAGGGATACTTACAATCATGTCCTCATGGGAGGTGTCCACAGTATTAATTACTGACACCTGGAACAAAAGATATCATTGGTAAATGAACTGATGGCAGTTCGAATGTAATCATCTTATTAAATCCACCATTAAATTTCTAAAGTTCTTGACTGTATTTGTTCATTCATTCATTTAGTAAACATTCACTCAAAGTACCTTCTTTTTGCCAAGCACTGTGCCAGGGCATGGAGGTATAGACACAAATACGAAGTATTTCTTGCCCTAAAGACCTTGCACACAAGTAACCCTAATACAGCAAGATAAATACTTTAATAGTGGTTTACATGTGCTACAGAAGACTGAGGGTTTGGTAGTGCTGGACACGGGAATCGGGGCTTTGATATGAGGAATTTGCGTGGTGGCACAGGGGAAAAAAGTAGTCCAAGCAGAGGGCATAACATGAACAAAGAGGGAAGATGGCAAACAGTTCTGGTTACCTTTGAGGGTGAAGAGGGACCCCGAGGGAGTTGACTGCCGTTCCCTTCCTGGATGATAGAGCCTGATGTACCAGGCAGCTTTTTGCATATGGGGTTAATGCCTAAGACTTGGTGAACTGATTCAAGTTTCCCTTGAGGCTGCTCCCTGGTCCATGACCTGTGACAGATCCTAGACTGTCACCTACTTGGATCTTGGGTTGAGCAGCTTGTAGCGCTGGAACACAGCTGCCACGGCCCATTCTTTGAGGTCCAGCTCAAATTATGCCCCACTTCTTGAAGTTTCCAGATCTCCAACTGGCTGTACTCCTCTGAATATCTTCAGTACTGAATGCCTACAATACTTTATGCTGTTTCTTCTCCTGACTAGAAGGCGTGCTCCCTGGAGCTAGGGTCTGTGTCGTCTGCAGTTCTGAATCCTCTCAAATCACCCAGCATAATGCTTTGCAACCAGCAGGAACTCGGTGACTATATACTGAATGAATAAGTAAATGAACAAAAAAGAACAGTTTTACTTTGCTCAACCACTATTCTCCTAAAACTCATGGGATAAAATAGGGACTGAAGAGGAGGTTTCAGTTTGGAACTGCTATTTCTTACCATTTCCCCCATTTCATCTTTTTTTCTTTTTTTTTTAGATTAAAGTTTATTGAGATGGCAACTGTTAGCAAAGTTACATAGATTTCAGGTGTACAATTCTATAACACATCATCTATACATCACATTGTGTGTTCACCACCCAGAGTCAGTTCTCCTTCCTGATCACCATATGTTTGACCCCCTCTACCCTCTTCTACCAACATTTCATTTTTAGTCTGACGTGACTTTCAGAAAGGTAGACACTGGAAGAGAATGGTGACAAAGCAGTTCAAAAGGTATACATCAAGTAAGCTCCGGTTCTCTCATCAAATTCTAGACTCCCTAAAAAGGGGGCCCGCAAGGTCTGCAAAGGCAAGCAAGGAAGAAAAAGAGTCTCCTACGTGGGCCAAGCTGCCCAGGTTAAAGTGCTTTCACGTGTGCACTGGGAAGGATGAAGGGCAGAGTTAATCAGTGTTGTCTGACAGATTAAGGAACTGAAGAAGCCCAGAGGAGAGAAAGCAAGTGCTAAAGTTCAGAACGAGTTACAGGTGTGGCTGGGAAGAGAGCTCCACCTGCTAACTCCCAGGCCACAAAGCTTCCCACTCCACTAGGCTGCCTACCCATAAAGTAGTCGTTACTCTGAATTCCCTAAATCAACGGCTGAGGGCTAAGAAAGTCAGGAAGAAAGTTTACTGGTAGTTTCATACCAGGTTACCAAAGGACTTGAGAGATAACCACCATTTATTTTTAACCACTCTCACACACCAGCCAGGACTGGTGAACCGTGTTTCTGAACAAGTGCTTTTTTTTTTTTTTTTTTAAAGCTGCTTAAAAAAAAAGTCCTTCCTCCTGAGCACCTCAAGTTGTCTGTTCCTTGTTAGGTAGTAAGTGGCAGCCCTCAAAACAACTCAGCTCTTCAGAGTCACTCAATGAGTTAAAAATTCATTTAGAAAGAGCTCTCAGAGCATCAGAGACACCAATTCTCAGCAACCGAAGAATCAGAAGCCAAGAGATGAATAATTTAACACCCAGCCCCCAAGCAGAGCAAGAACTAACCTCTGTCTGGGTTTACCCAGGTTTCCTTAAAACTCCAGGCACACGCATGTTCCTGAACACACTAGTTCACTGAGTCCCACTCTGTGCCAAGCTCAGGCTTGCAGCTTTTCACCCATTAGTTTCCATTCAGTCAGTCATTCACTCAGTGAGCAAGCGTAGAGTGAATGCACACTGTAGGTTCCACAGAGATTTAAAAAACAGCCCCTGCCTTCAGAGACTCATTCCGCTCCTCCTCACAGCAGCTTCCTGAAGTGGCCATCATACCTCTGGGCCCGAGCCACTGTCCACACACTGCTGGGAGAGGTGGTAGGTGGTAGAAAGGCGTCGTTACCAGGGTTAGAATCTCAACTCTGCCACTTGCCAGCTGAGCATGAGGCTTCCCCATTTGGAAAGAGTCCATAACAGCACCTACTTTACAGGGTTGTAAAGGGGCCTGCGATCTTAAACAATGCTTGGCACTACCAAGGGCTCAGGATACAGCAGTTTCTACAATGTTCTTGGTTTTGTTTTTCAGTTGTTGGAGGAAGAGAAGGAAAGGAAGGTGCAGGAGGCGCGGCAGCGGCGCGGCCCGCAGAGTTCCGGGAGGTTCTGCGAAAGGTCCCGAGAGGCAGGGCCAGAGCTCCGCAAACCTCGAAGCGGTGGAATGGAGCTGAATGACCCCAGCCCGGGGCTAGAACTTTAGCGCGGTCGAGGGACCCGAAACGACCGCGACCATGACTGGAACCCCGCTCCGCGTCCTCGGCCCCTGTAACACTCACCATGACTGCAGCGGCGGCGGCGGCAGCGGCGGCGGCGGCTCCCGGTCTCAGACGTGGCAGCTACCGGCAGCGCCTCCGCAACTCACTTCCGGCACCAGGCCGGCAGTCCGTCCGGCTGTGGCGCAGGAGCCTCCGGGCAGCAACGTGCTCTGCTCTGATAAAGGTTCCGGGCCTTTCCGGGGCAGCGCCACGCCCTCCCACGGTCCCGCCCCTCACCGTGAGGAACATGCGAGACCCACAGTGGGGCTCTCTTTTCCATGGCGACCCTGAAACACTGCCCTATCTTCTCTCCTGACAAAACTTTTCTCCCCCCGAGATCCTTACGTGAAAGAAAGGATTCATAACTACAGCTTCACCTGTTTCCCTGCGGTTCTGGGTGCGACCGGCCTTATGATGAACACCGAAGGATGATCAATTTTTTGGGTAGTGGGTAGATTAGTCCTAGTGCTTCCTTGTTGTTAGTCCCTCCTCAGGCTGGGACAAGGGGCAGAGTAGGGGAATGCCCCCTACTAGAGGCTGGGCCCTCTCACCCTGCCCTCTCCAAGCCATGGGACCCATGCCTCCAAACAGCTCTGGGATGCTGTGAGTTTGGCCCATCAGGTAAATCCCTCAGGCAAGGAGGGATCTCAGCCAGGCTCCTGCAGTTAGAGTCCAGGACCCTGGGGGCAGGGCCCCCAACCGCTAGGTCCTTGGCTTCCCATAAGCTCAGTGAGAATGCTGCACTGCTGGACAGAGCCTGAGGGCTCCCCTCAGCCACCTATGATCTAGCAGTCCTGAGCCCCTCATGGCATTAAGGAGTAGAGTGACCTAGGGTGGAGCCCAGGCTCCCCTTGGGTAAGTCACAATCCCTCAGTTTCTTCTGAAACTGGAGGGAAGAACCCTAGCTGGAGATGATCACTGCTGGAAGGAAGGTGTTAAAGGTCAGAGAGTGTGACAGACCCAGATCATCAAGGAGCTTTGGAGAGGGGCCAGGAGAGGAGGGTCTTACAGAACTCAGGGCCAGGCCTCTGGGCAGCAACCCACCCTGTAACCTCCATCCCAGCATTCAAGACTCATTTCCCTTTAATGGAGAAATATTGCAAGGGTGTAAGAAGGTGGTGCTTAGGGTGGAGCAGGGGATAAAGGGGGCAGGGCTCGTGTGTCTCCTGGTTTTCAAGAGACAGGTCCTGGTCTTGGATCTGTACTTGCACCACTGATTCTCTGGGTGCTAAGGTCACATCCTTCTCTCTGGGCCCCCCCTTTCCTCAAGTGGAAACGGGACAATGGCATATTGATTATAATACAAATATAATACATGGGGCCCACTTGTTATTAAAGGAATTCCCTGGTGTAGGCATTGAAGTTGGAGAGATTGGGAACTTGGGACAAGCAATGCAACTGTGTCTTATTCATTATTTGCTGGTGGGACTGAAAGGCATTATAATATAGAGGCCTTGAGTGCCAATTCTGACATCAAGACTGCTAGTTACCAGTATTCTATCTCCTACTAAGTGGGCACATCCTCACCTCTCTGAGCTGCTGTCTCCTTTTTTGTTAAGTGGGAATTATAATAATACCTCCTCTGAAAGTAGTTGGGATTAAACGGACCCTTGGATGTGAAACTGTGTTAGGAAGTTGGATGGGTCTGTGGTGTTTGAGGATCAGTTCTCGCTGAGAAGAGCTGGGTGTGTGTGTGTGTGTGTGTGTGTGTGTGTGTGTGCGCGCGCGCATGCGCGCGTTTTGTGCATGTGCAACCCTCAAACTTTGGACCAACATTGGGATTTAGGGGGCCAGGTTCCCCTCCCCAGTAGGGGATGCCGTCTGTATCCTTTGTCCATGTGTCCCATCGCCTCCCTCTGGTTAATAAGATCCCAAATCAGCCATTCTTAGCTTTCCCCTATTTGTGTCTCTACTCCCACACCCTCTGGCCCCTGAATCTCTTCCTCCTTAGGCCACTACCCCCAAAGTCTTGCTCTTTGGGACTGTCAACTATTCCTCATGGTAGGTTAATGACGAATGGCAAGTTAAACTTGCCTCCCTCAAATGGTGGGTGTTCAAAAGGTGTGACTTGCTGGAAGGAGAGAGACCACCCACTGAGCTGTGCACCCTTGGGCAAAGTACCTTTCCCTCCCAAGGACTCAGTTTCCCCGAGTTCCGATCCATGGAGGGTGGGGACCCAGCTGTCCTTTGGAAAAAGGCCTTGTGATGTGTACCGTGTCTGCGTTTCCACGTGTGCATTTATTGTTATTGCTCAGTATAGTGTTGAAAAGGCAGACAAATCCCATTAATTACAAAAAAAGCACAAGCCAGAGATACAGAGAAATAAAGAGTGTACAATAAGAGCACAGTCACTTCCCAGCCCCGATTGTCCCAGAGCCCCCCAGAACCCGGGCAGCTTGTGGAAACTGGAGGCGGCACCATTTCCTCGCTACTCTGTTATAAAATATGTGCACACAAGAGTTAGCAAAGTGTGGTGACCCCCAAGAGGAAAGGTCCGGAGGGAGAGCACCACAGGCATTACAAAACAGACTTAGGGGGCTGAGAAGGGCGGCCCCAAAGCAGCCTCAAATGTCTTGTTTTCAGTGGAGGGGGTGATGGCTGATGCCCAGGGCCTGGGATTCCCCTCCCCCCACTTGGGTGAATAGCGTCTCTACATCAACATCAGGAGAGTTTGCTTTGGAACTTGGAAAGGACCTGGGGATTTTCTGCTTTTGTCTGATTTAGGCCTTGGCTCCGGAAGACCCAAAAGCCTTCAAGAAATGCACGCACCCCCGATCTCCTAATGGTGGAGTCTTGGACACCATGGAAAGAGTTTTGGGTGAGAGGCATGTCACAGTGTACCCGGTTGACAGCCTCCTGTAAGTAGAGCAAGAACGGGTAGGGGGAGTCAGTGTGGCGAGGAGTACCCGGCATGAAATTGCTGCATCCCAAAGGACCTATCACATAACCACTGAGAACTTTGAATAAAGATCAAAAAAAGCAGTTCAGGAAAGGGAGACAGGAATAAACGTTTCTCTGTGAGAAATGGGAATATAGACAACTAGGCCATGCATTCTGGTGGCTCTAGGTCTGGGAGCGACCCCTTTCTCATCTGGACTAGGCAGATGAAGGGTCCACCCCAGCACAGCCAAGGTGGGTACTTCGGATCCCAAACTGAGATGGGGTTGGGGGCCTCTCCTGATGACACCCTGGTTTAGGGAACAAAAGATAGTATGGGGTGAATGCTGGGCTCCCCTTAAGATTCAGGACACACTTTTTGTTTCTCGTTACAGGACACTCTATTTGGTGACCCTGAGTGGACAGTGCTTACAATAGCAGAAAGATGTTTGCGTATAGAATGGGAAGGTGGTGGGAGGGCAGGGTTTGGAGGTCTTGGCAAAATTTTAAAGTTTACTTGGAAGAATAGATATGAGAGAATAACCAGGAAATTTTGTTAAAAAAAAAAGAGCGAAGGGTACTTATCCCACGACATAATAAAACATGATATAAAACAACGATAATTAAAATTGTGTGGCTGGTGCCAGATGAGACGCCCAGATAAGGGAACAGAAAAGACATTCCAGAAATAGACCCAAGTCTATCTCAGCTGTCAATGTGTGGTAAAGGTGACATTTCAACATGGTTGGGGGGGGGAAAGTGGCTATTCACTAACTGGGATACCCAGGATGAGACAGGTCCTGAGTCCTTGCCCCAGGGAAGTCAGTCATTGGTCTGGTCTCAGAAGCAAGATTCCCTCCCTCTTGTCAACTCTCTGCTCTGGTTGGGACGAGAGGGCAAGGGGCCATGGTGAGGAGTTGGTGGGAACCATCACGCCTGCTTCTGATTAGAGAAAGCACTGCCTGACTTGCAGGAAGGAAACTCCTCAGCTTCCGCCCTGCCTACCTCCAAAGGTGGGCGACTCTACAGCCCCAGGGGTCACTGAACCCCTTCTCCTCCCTCATCTATTGGGGGAGACAAGTTGGTGAGCTTAGACCTCAGAACTGAATCTGCTACCTTCTCTAGGAGCCCTGTCCAGAGGACAGAAAAGAAGCTAAGTGGATGGTGCAGTCCCAAACTAGAAAAAAGTATGTACTACAGAGTAAATATTTACCATGTTCTGTTTGATGTTGGTTTTTACCCTTTTTTCTTTTAAACCACAGACATTTCAGAATCTCACTGCAGGAGTAAGAAGAGTCAGCAATTGAAAGCATAATCATTGCATAGTATTAAATGAACAGAGACGGTGAGTTCTTTATTTACAATTATTGTCTAGATAAAAAAATTCATAAAAACAGATGAATGGTCATAAATTATTTACCCCCTAATGGGGTGAACTGCCAAACGTACCCCATGCTGCTAGATATAGGACACAGAGTGCAAGCTTTATGTATGTACTACAGTGAGTTTTGACAAACCAATCATTTCCTGTGTGTGTGAATGTGTGAGTGAGGGTGTGTGTGTGTGTGTGTGTGTGTGTGTGTGTGAGCATCCATCGTTCCTGACAAGAAAAGACCAACACTAAATGTGGGGCATTCTTGGTGGCTCCTTTCGCTCCCTGTTCCCCGAGCTGGGCTCCACTCAGAGAAACCCCCTCCTGTCTTCCTTGCATCCTGGCTCCAAACAAACAGGGAGCGTGGTGTGCAGCCTTCCTGGTGTCATGGAACAAAGAAGGTGAGGAGATGGAAAACCTTGAGAAAGAAAACTACAAAAAACCCCCCATGTTCCAAGGCTGCCCCATGTTTGACATGTGCAGGTCTTTCCTTTCTCAGGAGGCAGGAGAGCAGTGGGCTGGCTTTTGGTGGTGTTGTATTGGAATCCAAGAAGCACATCTGAGGGCTGGCCACCCCTTTGGGGATGCCGTTTCCTCTGCTGGGTACATTCAGAGATATTTCCCCGTGACATTCAGGTGATGCTCTCTTGCAAAGAAGGTCCTCCTACCAGGACGGTTTCGCCAGGTGGGATGGGCTGATTTGGGATCCCGAACCCTCAGGTTTCTCCACAGCCATCCGGACGCGGGCCCTCCCAGCTGACTATGGCTCTTTTCCCGAGTGGCTCTCACCTTGTGTGCGGAAGAATTCTCTGGGCCTGGAGACGGGAAGGGGCCGGGCTGACACAGGGCAACTTTGGGAAGGGTCAGTATGAGGAATGGATTTCACAAGCGAGGCGGAGAGTGTTTGGTTTTCCTCGAAGCATGGGACATCATCGATCATGGTATTCAAAATGTCTTTTGCACTGTACAAGTTTATGGAAAAAGATCGTATGCTGAAAAGTCTCAAAGCAAACTTTGTATTAAATACAAAAGTTCTTTTTATGAAAAAAGCTGATACCCACAAAGTGCTTAGCAGTTAAGAGGCTGACATACAATTAAATAAGCTCTTATTAAGTGGGATTACTAGTGCTGTAATTGTCTTGAGGGAAAAATAACCTCCTTTTCTCACCTGTGATACTGTAGGGTTTCAGAATGGCTTTCTGTCTGGGAAAGCAAGACTTGCTGTTAAAAGGCTACAGTATATATTGCGACTATAGGAAGACAATTTGGTTTAAAAATCACACTGAATACATCTCAATATACACATCATAAGGTTCGTTCGGATCTAAGTAGTGCAGAGAAAAAGGCTATTCTTCTTCAAAAATAAAAATAAAAGCAGCAAGCCATAATGATCCTCATCCAATATGCCAACAGCTCATATGCTGCAATTTATAAAGAAATAAACCTCTAAATTACTAACTAAAAAAAAAAATCAACACAATAGCATTTATAATATTGCAACACTACCTCAATCTCTGTACAGACAGTGCCAAAGAGAACCTCTTTTTGAAATGCTCTTAGTAAACCCAAGCGAGTTTCATTGAGAGAAAAGTCTTCAACCAATGCTTTGAGGTTCCTGTCATCCTTGGGCCAGGATGGCCGTTAGCACGCCAAGCCCAGGGAGCCTTCTCTCTCCTCTCCCTTTGTCTACAGAGCATGGTGTTAAAGCCCTCAGGATGGCTACTTGGTAGCATTTGGCTTCTGCCTGTGCCTCCCGTGGTAGTGACATTATTGAACGGAAATAGCAGGCGAAAATCAGGGCATGGCTATCGTAAAACATCAAGGATGCAATCGAGGGAAGTGTCTCTTGGGCTGAGCTGTTTTTATAGCATCTCAGCCACCAGTGTTCTTAAACCGTACAAATAGCCAAAGACATTATCTACAAGTTTGTAAACAAATTACATTCTTCTTTTAGGACATAAATAAGTTAAAATAGAGCAATTTAAGCGGAAACAAGGCAACATGCCGGCAAAGAAACTTTATATATCCATGTATATATATTTATATATATATATATATATATATCTACCTATCTATATGTACGTATACAGTCTTGGATAAGTATACGTTGATATAGATATAAAGAAATGGATATAACCTTGTGAGTGTCTATGAAGTTCTTCGGTTCCATTGGTGCAAATCTATTAGGCGAGTTAAGCTCTGCAATTTCAAAAAGTTGTTAAATTAACCTATACAACTGAGACCATGCTGCGCAAGCGTTTCAAAAACTCACAGACCAGTGGATTGGATAAATAGTCTCAGAAAAGAGTCTGTTTGCAGTTCCCGCCTAAGAAAACAAACAAAAAACACCCTCCCCAATCCCCCAAAACCAAACAAGGGGAGGACTGGAAGTGTACAGTACATTCATGCAGGGGACATGGCGGCCGGGTGGGTGCGTGGCTGGTCCATGTTTGGGTAGGAGCCAGGAAGGGCTTCTTCTGGGAAAACTTCTCACTCCCTGAAGCCCCCACAGGAGATCCTCCCCTTGCCTCAAAGTGAAAAAGAGTTCAAACAGCATCGCAGCCAGAAAAAGGGTCTGTTGGGTGGAAATGTTGGTTTTCTCGCCAGTATTTGGTTTCCTGTTGTTGCTCGTTGCTGCTTGGGTGAGTTGGGTGCCTGGATGGGTGGGTGCCCGGGAGGTGGGTGGTGGTGGGGTCCTCAGCTAAAGTGACGTCTCCAGGCTGTGGATGGGGCTCCCTGGACTTGAAGAGGTAGCTGATTTGCTTGTGTCCGTCGTCAGGTTGATCCCGCTGTCGATGGCGCTGTTGTTCTTGTTGAGCGAGGACGGCGGGCTCGAGTTCTGCTTGAGCGCGGCATCTTCTTCCAGGTCGGTGTCGTCAATGAGGGGGATGTGGGGCTGGGAATCTTCGATCCGGAATTCAGGATGAGCCATGAAATTATGGATGGAGGTTCGAGACTCAGGCTTTTCTAGACCTTCATAGAGAGAGCTACGGAACGCCTTCACGACGCGGATCTGCAAGGGAAGTTCAAGGGTGAGAAGCAGTGCACTGGTGTGTGTGTGTGTGTGTGTGTGTGTGTGTGTGTGAGTGTGTGTGTGTGTGTGTGTACCAAGCTCTGGGGGGCTCAGAGGAGGGGCAGGTGGGAGAGGCATTAGGCACAGCAGGTGGCTGGAATCCATAGTCCCTCAGTGTTATGAGTATGGACAGGAGGGGGAGAATGGAAGAGGAGGCTCAGGTTATATATGCATCCATGAGGTTTTTTGTATATTGCTTTGGTTTTGGTCAGAACTACAGTATCAGGACAGGAGGAATCAAGCCCCATCAAAGAGACGATGGGAAACGGTGGTCAGAGGAAGCATAGTCCACTCCGGCAGGCACCCAGACCTAGGGAGAGACTGAGCCTTGTTAACTTTAAAGCACGTTCGACCATGCAGAAGGGGAGTGGGGCCAGGTGGGAACAGAGTAGGAAGGAGGAGAGGCTATTTTTTAAAAAATTAATCTTAAAAAAAACCACACGCAGTTAAAAAACCATACCACATGGAACAGATAACATGTCACAAACAGAAAAGGAACAGAAAGGATAGACAGATGGATGAACAGGGATGAGAGGAGACACACGAGGGCCAAACAGAGAATAGGAACATCAAACCGAGGCAGCAAAGCAAATCAAAGCCAACTCAGGGCTTTCTGGGGTGCAGAGCAGAGGCAGCCAGAAAGCACAAAGGAGCCGGCGGATGGGTGACATTCGGGAGCGGGAGCATGCCACGGTGGGGGTCAGGGACCACACGGCACACACGGACAGACACACGCTACACTTGGAAGCCTGGACAATGTGAACGGAGGTTGTTTGTACCCAACGTTTCTTTCCTTCATGCATTTGGGAGGTAAACACTCGAGTATTGACTGAAAGCCCTGGCCAGTCATTGGAGTTGGCTTCAGGGTCCCTTATTTCCTGCGGGGGTATTTGATTTCTTTATTTGTGTTTTGAAAACACAAAACCAAAAAAACGAGGCCAGAATCAGATGGCCAAAACCAGCCCTGGGTGGGGTCCTAAGTGGGGTGTGGAACTGAGCTCAAAACAGCAAGTTCTTTCATTTTCTGTGTCTCAGTTGAAACCTGTGGCTCTCTGAAGAATGGGAGGAGGGTGGGACATTGTATCTTCTGGGCTAGTGGAAAGAGCACTGGACTAGGAATCAGGAAGGCCTGAGTCTGAGTCCTGGCTCTGCCACTTCTGGGTGAGCCACACTCCCTCACTGGCCACCTCTGTCCTGTCTCACAGGGTGCCGAGGAACAGGACCCTCACTTTGAAGAGAGGGCTCTCTCCTCTGTATTCCTGGGAGAGGGAGCGGTGACTGTTATCTCAAGGGGCCGACGGGACTCTGGACAAAGGCGCCGCCTCCTCTCTACCCTGCCCCAACTCAGAGCGGAGCCAGTGGTGGGGAAAACAAGGCAGTGTCAGTGCCAGCGAGGAGCAGAGGCTTAGCCGAGGTGGCCACGGTGCTGAGGGCATCCGCATGGCCTTCCCTGCAGAGCAGTGACTGCCCCACATCATAGGCTGTGAGGGGCAGAGGATAGGATGAGGCCCTCACAGTCCCAGGATTTGTGGAGCGCTCAGTAAACCCAGGGGCAGCTTGTTGGTGGGATGCAGGTGTGGAAAACCCTGTCCGCGGAAATACAGTAAAACCTTGGATTGTGAGTAACTTGGTTTGTGAGTGTTCTGCAAGACAAGCAAACATTTCAAATACATTTTAATATGGTAAACGAGCGATGTCTTGCAATACGAGTAGTCTGTTTCCGGAACAAATTATGCTCACAAACCAAGGTATTACTGTACATTTTCTTGATGACTGTGGCTGATGGTTTTAAGTGTCATAGCTCAGGGTTTATTTCACTGTTTCAGAGGGGAGTCTTTCTAAAGTACATAATATGCCTTTTAATTTAGAGCGCACAGAGGAGAACTGAACTTTGTCAAGGATCCTTGGTCTTGTATAAGATCCCAGTTTGATTTTTTTTTTTAAAGTTCTTCTTCCTCGCTGTCAGCCATCACTTACTAGTTCTGACCTTTCCTTGTCTTCTCAGAAGCATCTCTGTCCCTCTCCTGATATGCTGTGGGCTGGAGACTTCAGGGAACCCTGTCTGTTGGAATCGTGCTTTAACTAAGAGGCATCAGGTGCCAACTGAGAGCCAGCCAGACACTGTGCACTCGTGCTGGCATTCTGTGACAGCCATTGTGCTGCCCTGAGATTTCTTTCTCCTTGGATTCCCTATTTGTGACTCTGTAGAAATTATTAAATATTCTGGCCTCCTGATAAGTGGGCCATTACACCCTTGATTAAGTGAAAATAACAACAAAAAGGTGTTGTGGGCCTCAGTTTTCTTATCTGTAAAACAGGAATACTAATTATCACGGTAGCTGTTCATCCTAGTGCCCAGTGTGTTCTGAGGCTGCACTGCAAAAAGATGCCAGCCGGAGTGCCTGGTGGAGGAGGAGGGATGGTGGCAGGACCCTGTTGTGTGACTGACAACGCAGGGGGGACGACACACAATGAGATGCAGGCCCCTCGCCCTCCCCCTGGCATGGAGACGACAGGAAAAATGAACTGCTCTGGACAAGACTGTAGGGACAAGACTTTTCGGGACACCCCGCCACGGCCATCTCAAGTCTCCACTTCGGTTCTCTGCGCGGCTGAAACGGAAAAAATACGGGAAGAAAAAAAAGCTCTTCCATCTCCCCTCCCTGCCTACCCTGAAGCGGGGATCTGTGGCTCTAGCTGCTTTGGGCATGGGGGTGAGAGGAAAGAAGGGGAAGGCCCCACCTGTGGGGTTTCAGGCATTTTGGTTTCATCAGCACACAGGGAATGGGAGGCCAATGCCCGTGGTCGGAGGGCCCTGAGGAAACGCAGAGGCCCAGGTCTGGGATGGTTCGGGGGAGCGGGGGGGTTCGACATACTCGAATGTTTACCCGGCTTCAAGGAAGCCAAGAGTCTGGGATTGATTCACATTCATTTCAGGCTCAAGGTTAAAGACTCACAACCTCTTTTAATTTCACTCTCTCTTGCTGAACTCTGTGTCCAGGGTTCTCTAGCCCTCTAGGGAAACAAACACATGGAATATTCAGAAAGCAGAGAGGTCTAGGGTCCCCCCCCAGAAGCAAGCCATTTTCTCACCAACCCAAGGCTGCACTAAACTAGTTACCAACACACTAGCGAGTGGTCCAGCTTTCCTTCCTTTCCTTCCTCCTCCCCCTAAGCGACGCGCTCTTCGCCCTAGCAGTCCTCAGAACCAGGGGTCTGAAGGGGAAGTGCGGGTAGGAGAGGCCCTATCCAGCAGGTGGCATCCAGCACGTGGTCGGTCCTGGAGAGCAGGCGTCTGGTGCTCGTGGCCTGGGTGCTTGGAAGGAGCAGGACCTTTACTGATGAACACAAGGCCTGAATGCTAAGTACAAAGATGGCTTGAGATAGGTTAGGAATTTGAGGAGATTAAGGAAGAGGGGCTGTGGAACAAGGCCGCTTGGCCTTGGATCAAAGAGCTGAATGCTGCTTTTGTCGTTGACCACCAGTGGGAAGGCACCCTTCTCCCCGTCCCTGCCAGGCGAGTGGAGATTCAAGCAGAGAAACAGCTTCCCTGGCCTGTGGGCCCCAGAGGGTTGGCTCCTTTTCAATGGATGAGGATGAGTGGGTGCACTGGTTCCGGAGTGAAAATCCAACCTCTGTGGGATCCAGGTCTGTGGGTTTGTCTGGGAAGTGGTGTGGGGTGGTGGGGAAAATGGGGGGCTTTGTGGTCAGACTTCTTGCCACTCACTTGCTGTGTGATCTTGGCCAAGTGAGATCACTTCTCTGAGCCTCAGTGTCTTTCTCAGTTAAATGGATGCACTGGTAGGTCCTCCCTCCTTCTATTTCAGTTGTGAGGCATATGTGAAGTGAAGGATGTGGGGAACTGCTTGGGAAGATGTTGAGTGAGGCTCAAGTATAAGGCATTAAGGGTGTGTTATTAAGTTTCTAGAGGAAAAAGCGAACTCATTTTTAAGTAAGTCAGAAGAGGAAAGCAAGAAAGTGGACAAGAGTTCCCCCCACAAACATTCCAGACGCCAGTCTGACCGGACTGTCCTATCACCGCATTCAACTGTCTACCTGGGGTCCTCGATCTTCCAGTGGTGCTGGGGGAGGGATGTGTAACCTGGTGCCGAGTTCCTCACCCCAATGTCAGAAGTTGGTCCAAGCACACACTGCCCTGCCTCCAGCCTTTGTGGCCTACTCTTGATAACCCCGGGGACAGCAGTCTGGCTCCTTCCGGGGCACACAGACTGAGCATACACGTGGCCACCCTCCTCTGCTGGAGGCTTCCCAGGAAGAAGACCCTGCTCAGAGGAGGCGGGGGTGGGGGTGGGGCAGCCTACCGTTTCATCCCTCCCCTGCTCTTTCTGGCCACCTGCTTCACACCTCCCTGTGGGAAGAAAGCCTTTTGGCTTCTGAAGGGACCCTGCCTGGTATCTAGAGGGCCCTCAGAGTCCTTGGAGGCTGGAGAAGGCGACACTGTTATAGAAACTATTCAAGCAAAGGAGGAACTAGGGGATATTTATGTAGATAGAGTTCACATTGTAATGGTGTTGACCAAAATGTGTGTGTTGAAACCACAGAGGTTGTGACCCCTTTTGGTACCGGTACTCTTGGGCAGGGGGATGGTCATGCCCAAAAAAGGGTCCAAGAAGGGACCCAGAATTACAGGCTAGATTCTATAATAGAGGGTCAGAATGCAAGATTCTAAAGGAGGCATGTTTCTTGGGGGAGAGACAGGGTGGGGGTTGGGTGAGGGAGTTGTGCCTGACAAGTCATCTGAGAGAATGAGGGGTCATGGGCAAGGCCTATAGGCTCCTTTTCTAAAGCTGTTTTCAAGCTGGGGTCACCATGGGATAAAGGGGATAAATCTGGCCTGGAAGGAAATTGGCTTAGAGGCAGAAAGTGAAGGGTGTGCAGAAACAGATATTTCTCTAAAGAAGAGTTGCTAAGAACTGATTGTCCTAGGCCTGGCCTTATTGAATGGTTTTATAAATGACAGAAGAAATGATGAGAATTCAGTTTCCAAGGTGTGAGATGACTGACCGCTTTCTTTTGGACTGTGCAAGCTAAGATGAGGGGCTAAGCCAAGGGAAGGCTTCCAAAGGCTGTGAGGCAGGAATACCAGATCAGCTCTTTTGTGGCCAATGCGAAGCGCCACACTTCAAGAGGGAGGCGGAACCAAGATGGGACAAAGGACTGAGCAGGCGCCCAGAAGCCAGACTTCTGGCAGTCAGACCCAGCGAGAAGGAGGCAGGCGTCACTAGCAGTGGTGGCAGGAACTAAAAGAAAGGCAGTCTTTCCCAAGTGGCTCCCTAGGCCAGAACATTTTTGAAATCTGAATTGCAAGACAGGTGGTGGCACTGAGTGAGGCCAGAGCCAAGCTGATCAGAGTAGGCCAGCTGGGTGAGGGGCTCACCCCAAGGTGAGGGCTCTCTGGTGTGGAGGGGGAAAGGATGGAACCAAAGTGTTTCCTACCCTGAGAAAGTGTAGCAGTGATTCCCTAGTGATACCACCTCATAGAAATGTGATTTGGACACCATGTGCTCAAATATGCCTGCACTTCACCTTGGCTGGTCTGGCCTCCCCATCACTGTGTTTTTGTGCTAATGAATGAACGAGGAGGGGCTTTCTCTCCTTTTCTGCAGCCTTCCTGTCATCTTGCATACCTGGCAGGATGGCATCCACCGAAAGGTCGTGGGACATGAGCATCTGCCATCAGCAGGCTCTCTGTGGCCTGTGCCTCCTGCCGGGGGGCCCAGATAGCATAGTTCCCACCCAGCACACAGGGCTGGGGATGTGTGTGGTCAGTATTCTGTGTTTGGATGGGGGGTAGAGGCACCTTATAAAGTATCAAGAGACGAGGCCTGGAGCCTATTCCTCGTCAAAGACGTCCAAGCGCTAGCTAAGTGAACAAATGGTGGTGATGTGAGAAAACCAGAGTACGGCTCCCTTGAAGTTTGGGAGGGGCTGACTGGAGACAAGGTAAGGGAGGCAGGAGGTAAACAGAGACTTCTTATTCTCTCTGGGGACTGAAGCCATAGGGGTTCAGAAAGATCTAGACAGGACCAGAGATGAGAGGCCCGGGTCAGAAGTGGTGGTGTGAGATGAGCGCGACCGGAGGAAGATGCTAGAGGGAGTCAGACTCCCAGGCACAATTTTAGACCAGACCTATCAGGGCCTTCCGGCACCCAGCCGCAACATGAGGCTTGGCCCACAATTTTCTACCCGAGGTCAAGCCGAATGGGTCAGGGGCCTTGTTCGTTCCGGGAAGGGGCCAGACCTTCAGCGTGCATGGAAAAGTATGTGTAAGGCAGCTGATGACATTAGGTATGCAAGCGGAGAGGGCACAGAGTTATGAACCACTGTGCATGGGGCCTCCAGGCCGTGATCTCCTTGGTAGCCTGGGACCCCCGACGGACTGTGATCTCTGACCTACAGTGACCCCTCTCCTGGCTGGACCCCACTGTGACTGACTTTGACCTCTGAGGGCCTTGACTCACGATAACCCTTTGCCTGACTTTGACTGCAGGCTGTTACCTCCTGGCCAACTCTGACCCTTGTCCTCACAGGCCAGGCTTTTCCTGAGTCGGACCCTAGACTGATTGGGACACCCCATGCCCCGCCGGCTGACTGTTCCCCTTGGCTGCTGTGACCTTGTAGTGGACTGGGACATTTGATCACTGAAACCTCCTTTGACTGACCCAGAGTTTTTGACCACTTGTGACCTTCATGACCCTCTGACTGACTAGGTTGTAACCCCTGACCCTGACCCCAGCTGACCCTGTCCCACCAAGTGACTGACACTCTGTGACTGGCTATGATCTCCTGAACAACTGTGGCCCCTCAGCCCCCTGGGCCTAACCATGGCTGGCTGCCCCCCATGTCCTTGGAGCCCCGGCCCCTGCCCGCCTGCCCGCCCGGCGCTGGTGTTGGTGGCGCCCGAGGCGGTAAGGATTCACACTCACGCCCAGCTGCAGCAGGAGGAAGGCTGGTCGGAGAGGAAAGAGCATTGGACAACGACACGCGACTAGGGCTAGAGAGATTGGCTACGTCCTGGCTCTGGCTGGTGACGGAGGACTGTCTCCGCAGGGCCCCCTGAAAGGAGGCCCCGCTCTTGAAAGTATTGACTACTTCAATCTGCAACGGAGGAGAGAACGAGACAAGTTGCGAGAAGAACGAACACAACAGGTACACGACTGACAGGCGCAATGCCACGAGAAAGCCGCAGCCACGGCAACAATGACAACATCACTGAAATCAAAACAAAAAATACCAGACACACTCCAAGGCTCTGAAAGATGTCTGCTCAGGCTCCGGGCCCATCTGGAGGCCCCGGAGTCCCAGGGAGGACACAGGAGCCCAGCCTGTGTCCTGCTCTAGTGGCTCAGGGGCCAACGGGCTGGGTTGGGGGCTGAGGGTGATTAAACATGGTATTTGGAGGCAAGTGGGGGTGTGCTTTGCCCCCCTTGGGGCCAGGCATGGAGCCAGAGTGCTATGGTGGGGGGTCTGGGGTGGACAGACCTTGGCCCAAATCCCAGCTCTGCCACTTAAGAGCTAGGTGACCTTGGGTGAGTCACCTCTCTGAGTGTAGTTTCTTGTTTCTCAGAAGGGACAATGCCACCTACCTGGCAGGGATATCTGTGAGTGGCAAACCACCTGGCCCACCTTAGTGTTCCGTAAGAGCCAGGCTGGATAGGCACTCATGCCCACTCAAGAAACCACAGTCCCGGTGTCCTCCTGCAACCTGCAGACTCCTGAAAGGCTTTGTGGCCAGATGGCGACAGCACCAAGGCTGTGTGCACTGACAGCTGCCCCTGGAGGGCTGGGTGCGAGGGCTTTTGCTGGCGGGGGAGAGCCCAGGCTGCATCAGGTGGCTCGTGGTCTGAAACCTGCCTCTGTCCCCTACCCCAACTCTCAGAAAGGGTGTCTCCTGAACCTCAGTCACCCCTAAAACTGGAGGGGGCATACCTACTTCTCAGAGGGCTGTGAAGGCCAATGAGATGATGTTTGGGACAGGGCACTATGGGTGTGAAGCAGCCCAGGTGATCTACTGTTTATTCTGTTTGCTAAATGAAGAGCAAAGCCACTGGGCAGGACAGAGGAGGGATCTCTGCAACACTTCTCAGAGTGTGAGGGGCTGGGGCGGCTATGAACTTGCCAGATGCAGCTCTCCCAGGTGGTCTTGGTAAGGGACCAGTCCTCTCTTAGCTTCATAGTCCCCGCTGCTCCTTGTCTCATGGGGCTGTGAAAGCATGCTATGACCAGGCACAGGGGCTGGCTCCTGTGAGAGCCTGTGGCCTGTGTGTGGGCTGCACGGTTGCAGCATGTGGCATGTAGCAGCTAGGCAGCCTCTGTCCTGGGGAAGAAACCTGCGTCTGGCTGGACATGCAGCCCGCAGGAGTGCTCTGCAGGTGTGTTGTGTGCACGGGTGTGTCTGTGCGCATGGGGAAAACTGAGCTTTGCTCCCCAGAGCTGCCTCGAAACCCGGTGAAGCCCTGTGTGGAGGAAGAGAACATGCGCGCGTGTGTAGAAGCCACCATGATCCCTGGGCCCAGGAGAATCTGGGGCCAACCCTGGCCTGTAGATGCCGTCCTGGCCTGATGCAGACTAGTCTCCAGCTTGGCGGTGCCCTTCCTGGTAGCTGCCCTGCAGCCCTGAAATCAGTCTCCCCAGCCGCCTGGCTAGAGCCCTTCAGGCACCTCAGCCCTCAGGGTCATCCCCTCCCCTGCTCTCAGGGGCAAGTCCCTGGGAACCCCAGTCTGATGGCTCGCTGGCTGAGAGGGTGAGGTAGAATGTTCCTGAAGAGGTGGCTGTTTCTTTAGCAGCCACGGGCGAGTGCGTGTGAGGAACGTGACTGGTGAGATGGTGAGAGCGGGTCTGGACCCTGGCCTCTGCGGCCCTGGGGGGTGACAGGGAGCACGCATATCTCCATCACCCACCGGCCTGGCCAGGCGTGGGCCCAGCCCTGGGAGCCTCCTGTACCTGGGTTTGGATTCGATTTAGGCCCCGGAACCACAGGATCTGGCCCCGCCGCAGCTCTCGCTCGGCGTGGTCTATCTCCTCCACATCCTCGTTGAGCTCCTCCTCTGGGATCTCCTCCTTCTGCGTGAGCCTGCCCGCCTCCTTGAGGAACTTGAGCCTGCTGGTTGGGATGGTGGCGATGACCTGCAGAGGACCCAGCCAACGTCAGGGCCATGGGCGCAGCCCCCCAGTCAGCCTCCTTCCCCCCGTGCCACCCTCCCTGTTCTCTCACCCTCCCTCTCCCACTTACCTGATCACATGTTCAACTCACTACTTAACTCATCTCACCCATTTCTCGATTCAACCTTTAAATCTCTTATTGATTTGCTTTTTAATTCACTCACTCATCCAGAGTCAGGAGGACACAATGGAAAATCTTGGCCTTTAGGAGTTGGACCGATGTGAATACCCGCCAGACCTTACTGGTCCTGTGACCCTGGGCAAGTCATTTAACCTCTCTGAGCTCTGGTTTTCCCATCTGGAGAGCTGAGGGCAATGCTCAGGGCTGGATTGTTAAGCGACATGGTGTGTCTAAGTTGCTGTGCGCAGGCCTGGCCCGCGGCTGGCCCGCAGGCCTCTGGGCTGATTCCTCCTGAGGTCACTGGGTCCTGGATACCCAGTGTGAGCAACAGGGGCTCAGGGCCTGGGTGCCCTAAGGGAATGGCTGCCTTCCCAGCAAGGGAAGGCAATATGGGGAAAGGGACACGCCTTCATTCTTACTCTTCCCCCAAAGGGCTTGTCCATGGGGCTGAGGCCTGAGGGGCAGGCCCTATGGGGAAGCTGAGGTGGTGGAGGTCAGAGGCCCCTTATGTCTCCTGCAGGGACAGACAGGGGTTGGCCTGGACACTCAGCCTCAGGGTTCTCTGAGAGTTTAAGGTGGGTATTGCCTGCTGGCGTCATCCTTAGGCATTAGAAGCCGGCTTCCCCAGACACCGAGAGCTCCCAGAGCATGTGAGCCCAGTGAAGTAAAGACGGCCTGGCCCCGAGGTTATCCAGGGAATGGGGCTGCTAAGTCAAATCTAGTTTATCAACTCTCCAAAGAAGTTTCTTTTGAAATGACACTAAACTTTCTTCTTTATCTTTTAGTTGATTTCTGCCACTAGAATGTCCCACTCAAGCCTGAGAACAGCTTGGAGGCAAGAACATTGTCTCAGGTCTGTTGGGGCCCCACTGCCTGGATGACGTAGCATCTTGGGGATAAAGCTCCTTTGGCCCAGGATCATAGCACCTTTGAAATTTATGGAAGAGGACTACCTTTTGAGGAAGGGGTCCACACCCTGCCTGCATCTGGGACGGGGCACATCTCACAAGCACCACCACACCCTGGCCAGGTGCCTTTGAGCTGCAAGTTGTAAGCACTGTGATGGCGTGTGTGATGGTGTGTGTGTGTGTGTGTGTGTGTGTGTGTGTGTGTGTGAGATGGTGTGTGTGTGCACATGCACACATGTGTGTGCACTTTTGGAACTTGGGCAAAAGTAGAAAAGGGAACTGGTGAGAGAATGTTCTGGGGTCACAACTGGAAGAGCCCCTACAGAGCATCCAGCTCAGGGGTCCCCAAAGCCAGAAGGATCTCAGACAGCCACAGACAGAGCACCGAGTAGCTCTGCGGTGCGGTGGAGCTCACCCTTCTTACACTCCCTCAGGGCCCTCTAAAGGAGCCTCTGCTTGGTGTCTTGCCACTTACTAACCTCCCTTTGTAACAACTAGCCAGCTTCAGGCTCTGAGCCTTGGCAGGGCCATGATATCCCGTTAGAGTTTAATAACATTGTTTTCATTACATTATTTTTTTTGTTAGCTTCTATTTATGACAAGCGATATCAATTTTCCACTCGTGTTAATAATATAAAGTTGTCTTTTGAAATAAATTTCAGTTAAAAAAACTGATGTGATTAAAAGAAAATGTTAAGTAACTAACAGGATCAGTGTACCTAAATATAAGGTAAAAATCACTGCTATGGTACCCAAACGACCAGCATCGGGGACCTACGTCAACTCCCATTGCTCAGATGCCCAGAGATGAGGAAGGCCTTGTCTGGGGACAGACAGCGAGTCTCTGGCAGAGCTGGCACCCATTCCTGGGGCTCCTGGATTCCCCGGCCAGTGTTCTTTCCCTCCCCCCACTGAGAGGCAAGCTCCTGCAACCCATCCCGAACTTACCTGGCCCCAGACGAGCTCTCCTAACCCGATGAATATGCACCACAACCACTGGTCCAGCTGCAGTGGAGCGCAGCTAAATGGCTTACCCCCAAACTGCACGATCACTATCTGGAGGTCAAGGGAACAGAGAGGCAGAGACAGAGAGACAGACACCATCAGGGCCCAGCTTGCAGGCCTGGGCTCTCGGGGCACTGCGGCTGGGCTCCGGCTGCCCACTGCCCACCCAGACCTAGGTTAGGGCGGTGGCCTGGCTACCTGGATGGCAAAGGTGCCCAGCACGATGGTGCAGAAGATGGGGTTCCGGAAGATGCCATCAAAGACGTTGCGCTCGCCATGGATCTTGCGGGCGTTGATCTCGTTGAAGAGCTGCATCATGACGAAGGTGTTGAAGATGATGGTGTAGTGCTCGGAGGGTGGCGAGTGCAGGGGCGCGTTCCTCCCACTGTCGATCTGGAACATCTTCTCTCCTGCCGAGCCGAGAGTGAGGGGCGGGGCTGTGGGCTGTGGTGGGCGGCGAGGCCGGGCCTGCGCTGGGGCAGGGGGGCTTGGGGGGGTTGGGTCTTCGTGCTTGGTGCCATTGTCATGTGGGGTGGTGGCAAAAGTGCCTGTCTCATGGAGTGGCTGGCAGCATAAATGGAAGTGCCGTGGAAATGGTTGGTGGGTGAGCAGGTGTGTGGCACTTCCTTGAGGAAGCCTCACCGAAGACACCTTCCATGGGGCAAGGACAAAGTGTGGGAATGGGTCAGAGAAGGGGCCAGTCCCTTCCCCCAAGAGCCTCAGGCTCCTGTGGGGCTGGGGTGAGGGGCATTCATGGGCGCCTGGGCACTGCCTTGCACCGTGTGTACTCAGGGTTCGGAGCTGTTATCAGTGGAAGAAGCCCTGGCTTTGGGGTTGGCCAGAACCGGGACAGGGCTGGGCTCTGCCCACGTCTTGCTGTGTGATCTTGAGCAGCTAACTTCACCTCTCTGGGCCTCCACAACCCATTGGCAAACAGAAAGGTGGATGTGAATCCAGAATGCTGAGTCTGGGCCAAGGTGTCCCGGGGGACTCACCCACAAAGAGCAGTGTGAAGATGAGTGTGAGCTGGTAGACAGCGTGGCCCAGGATGTTCTTCATCATGGTCCGCGAGATGAGCGGCTTGTTGCGGCCGTACGGCTTCCTCAAAAGCAGGCTCTCGGTGGGCGGCTCGGTGGCCAGAGCCAGTGAGGCAAATGTGTCCATGATGAGGTTCACCCAGAGCATCTGCACGGCCTTCAAAGGGGAGTCCTAGGGAAAGCAACCGCAGAGAGAGCCGTCACAGGGGAGGCCAGCCCCACCCGCTGCTGTTAAGTGCCCGCAGGCATGCGTGTCTGCGCTGGGGTCTCAGCAGCTTTCTGCTGGAAACTTGATTCTCTCTGCCCAGGGGGTCTGGCCTTGGCTGGCCTGTCCCCTGTGTCCCTGAGCAGGCACAGAGCAGGTTCACTGAGGCTTTCCTTGGAGAACAGCTCAGACCTGCCCACCTGGGCCATTTTCTTCTCCAAGGAGAAAATTGAGCCTCCGGGACTGATGGCCACCCGCTCTCTGTCCTCCAGTAAATTTCGCCACATCCCTGCCACTTCCCCTCCTCCCCTCCAGGCATCTCGCCTTCAGGCTAAGCAAGACCTCCCCAACCATCTCCAACACAGACAACACCCCCACTCTCCGTCGCCTCCCTCTGCCCCCTCCATGCTGCCTCTCTCCCCTCAGTTATCAATGGCTCCAGTCTCTCCCATCCCACCTACAATGCCATGACCCCGTCCCCTTTTCACTACCACTCAAGTTCTCTTTACCTCTTATTCCACTTTAACATAAGCAATTATTGTGTGTGCATATGATTTTAAAAGTAACGTATTTTCATGGTAGAAAATTTGGGCAAGTGAAGGATAGCAGAAGCTAAAACTCACGAATGACTGCACCACTCATAGGTTTCCACTGTCTACAGCCTGGTGTGGATCCTTCCACACCTCTCTGCCTGAGACTGGGGTCACATATTCATACTGTTCTGTGTGCAACCAGGTCTACACTGCCCAAAGTTACAGAATCCATTTGTCCCCCTCTGTCCTCACACCCCTGCGTGCCTTGTTCCTGACAGCCAGATTCTGGCCCCCAAAATGCCTTTCTATTATACAAGATCACTAGCACCTTACTTGTTACAGTCACGGAATATATTTTCCAGCCCCATCTCAGTGACGTCGCTGTCAGGTTTGGCCACTGACTCCCCCTTGCGCCCCGACCCCACTCTCCTGGTCTTCCTCCTCCTCTCTGAATGTTTCCCTTCCTTCCCCGTTTCCCTCAGGGCCCCCCTTTCCCTGCCTCTGAAATCTGTGCTCCCTGTGGCCCCTTCCTGGGCCCTGCTCTCTTTCCACACCTGTGCCCTGGCTGCAGGGGCCCACCTCTCTCCAACATCACCCTCTTTCCAGCTCAGGCCTCTCCTTGTGGCTTTAGCCCCATCAACTGGTGTAACGGCTCCTCCAGGAAGACCACAGATCCTGTAAGTCCAACAGCCCAAACCGAGCTGTTTCTCACCTCTGTGCTCTCCATGTACCTCCCGAGGCCCCCTCTGCCTCCATCCCATCCATTCACTCACCTCCTAGATGTTTATCATAGCCCTCCCTCCTGGCCACTTCTCCCACCTCTGCCCTGGCTGACGCATGCTCCCATGCCCGTCAGCTTCCTCCTGCCTATACGCCTTCTCCGATCACATGCCTCTCGGGGTCAGGCTCCCTCCTCCCCCGCCCCCACCTTCTCACTAAGGCCTCCATGGCCCTGCCACCAGCTCAATCTAAGACCTCGGGCAAACTGATAGTCTTCTCGGAACCTCAGTTTCCCCATCTGGCATCAGTTGGTCTCAAGAAGCCTCATATGAGTTGCCGTAACGTGGGAGTGTCCCCTAAACCACCACTAGAGGGAGCTTCTCATCCACAGACCAGGAGAGAAGGCTCTTGAAAGTCAAAGGGACCCCTTCAGCCACCCCCAGGGATCTGACTCTCAGGGCTGGGGTAGTAGGTGCTGCCATGTGTATCCCCAAGGGCTCAGAATGAAATAGAGGGGAGCAACATTCCCCGGGCCACACAGCTCTTTGGGGGTAATGCTGGTCTCGGGGCCTCTGGTGGTTTCTATGGTGAGGAGCTTGTCTGCCCACGTGGCTGCTAGGAGGGGCCAGGCCTCGGAATACCCTTGTTGCCTCCCCAGGCCAGGCTGGTCAGCCCCTGTGGGAGCAGGAAGCTGTGGGAGCAATGGACAGGTGACCGGCCTGTCCACACTCTGAGCCGCAGTGCCTGCCTCTGTAAAATGGGGATCATCACCATCCCCACTGCATGGAGCCGCATGAGGAAGTGGGGAGCTGCAGACGACGGGGCCTGCAGTTGGCTTCCCTGGGTTCAGGACCCAGGCTGAGATCCTGACAGACAACTGCCTCTCTCAGTGACGGAGCCTCCAACCCCTTCCAGCTGCCCCCAGCTAGCCTCAAGAACCCAGGCCAACAGGCCTTTCCAGACGCACTCCTTGTCAGAACTAAGGTCCCCTAGGCCCCACCGGCTCCTTGTCCCCATCCAGCTGCCTGATGCCCCTTGGGCCCTGCCTTGCCTCTGTTTCCTTCTAGCCCTTTATTTGGCCAGGAGCCCTGGCTTCCCTGGAGGATCACTCCTCGCATCTCCTGGAGCAAGGGCAGACTTGTGCCTGGGTCAGGCCGATGTGGAAATGAGGCCCGACGTCTCCCACTTGCCGGGTGACCTTGGGCAAACCCTGCCACATCTCTGGTCCTCATTTCTTCTGCTCCATGGTGCTGGCGACGGTCCCTGAGGTCTGTGATGCAGTTCCTGGTCCTCAGCAGACACTCCACTGATGGGTGGGACAACCTGGGATGCCCTCCCCCAGGCTTTGGCATGCCTGGCCCTGCCTGCCCCACCTCAGAGGACCCACCTGTGTGATGCAGGCACCCGTGAAGGCCACGATCACGGCCACCACATTGACTGTCAGCTGGAACTGCAGGAACTTGGAGATGCTGTCATAGACATTGCGGCCCCACATCACTGCCTTGACGATGCTGCTGAAGTTGTCATCTGTCAGGATGATGTCTGAGGCTTCCTTGGCCACATCTGTGCCTGCAATACCCTATGGGGGTGGGGACAGGAGCCTGGGTGGGGCGACCGGGGAGGCAAGCAGCTCTAGCAATGCTGTCCTCACCCCCTACACGTCCCCCCACATACACACACTTAACTGCCAGCATAGCTAGACCACACAGGACATGTGCACATGTGCACACAGGTTGTATTGCACACACACACACATGCATATACACACGCCTACTTCTGAAAGGTCCAGCCCCCTGAGGCCAGCCCTCTGCCTTCAGAAAGCCTCTCCCTGGCCCCTGGCCCCTACTCCACTCCCCCACCCCAGACCCATCAGTGTAGGGAGAGGGCTGCCCTTCCACGGAGACCCTGGGGGCTAGGCTGAGCCTTGAGAGCGCTGGGCACATAGGGGACATTGGGTGGGCTGAGTGAACTGGAGGCCCTGAACCGCCAGCTCGAGGCTGCGTCATTCATGTCCCCCAACTCCCTGCCCACAAGCTCCGGCCAGACGTTGCCCTAGGACCCCTGCAAGCTGCTCCTACCATGGCGAAGCCCACGTCTGCTTTCTTGAGTGCAGGACCGTCGTTGGTGCCATCCCCTGTCACCGCTACCACCTGCCGCTGCTCGGTGTGTGTGCTGTCGATGATGCCTGTGGGACGGGGGACTGTGCTTAGGGCCCTGGGTGCTCCGTGGGTCAGGGGCAGCCCAGCCAGTCCTGATCCTGGAGGACCCTGGGCTGCACGGCCTCGTCTATGGCTCCTACCCTGCCGCCCCTGTCCCTTATGGCTCTCCCCAGCTCCAGGCTCACCCCTAGCTCCCAGCACCCACAGGGGACGTCAGGCACCTTAGCCCAGTGCTGGCTTGCAGCCTTCCATGGTCTGGGCCTGCTCGCCTCTCCAGCACCCTTCCTTCTCTCTGCAGCCCATGGCCACATCAGCAGCCACCCTGGCCAGAATCGCCTCCCCTCTGCTGACACTCCACAGGCCCCTCTGTTCTCCAGAGGCCAGGGTTTTGCTAGCGGTCTACCATGTGCTCACCCAGAACCTTCTCTGGGAGGTCCAGTCAAACATTCATCCTCAAGAAAATCCTCAACAAATAACAGAATGAACGGATGACATGTGGCCCCTGTCATTGAACTGGAAAAAGGTGGGCGAAAGATGTCATCATTGGGCATGCATAGAGTTTGTCGGCCCCTGAGCATGGGCAGGACAGAAATTTGAGTGTCAACATTGACATGTCCCTCTCTCATTCCTCACATGAAATGCATCACCGAGGCCTATGTGGATCCTGGCTCTGAAATTCCATTGGAATCCTTCCACTTCTCTCTGTCCCCATAAAGGCCCCTGTCACTAACTCCAGGCTCCCCCTCCAATTGGCATAGTAGCCCCAGGGGCTTTCCAACACCTGAGTGTGAACCTGTCCCACCAGCACCAGGTGAAAGTTGTTCGCTCACTGCCCACTTGGCTTCAGGGTGACATCTGCGTTCTTAGCTCCTCTCACGGAGTCCTCCATGTTCAGAATTTGCCTATTCCCTGATCTTTTCTTCTCTCACTCCCCATACCCATCCTGGCCATCCCTAATCTGGAGTTGACTACAGGAATGACTCTTAGTCCTGCAGAGCTGGCTCTGCTTGACCCTATCTTTGTGCAGGCTGTTCCCTGGGCCAGCTGTCTCTGTCACCCACCTGTAGTCTCAGCTTGGAGGCCACTCTCCCTTGGAAGACCTTGTGACCCCTGGAGGACCCCCACCTGCCCTAATCAGCTCCCTTCCACCTGTGTGTCCCCTGTCCTGCGCTTGGCAAACAGCAGCAGCCTGTGGAATGAGGAATGAGTTCCCTAACTTGGGGCGCTGTAGCCCCCACCCCAGCTCTTTGCAACGGTCAAAGTTCCACCTGCTTCAAGGCCCAGCTCCAAGGCATGTGCTCCAAGAGTCATCCCAGCTGCTCCTCCGAGCTGATTCCGCTGCCTAGGACTATCTAGGCATGTGAGGCCTTCATCCCCATCGGTTCCCTCGGCCTGCCTGGGTACTCCTCCAAGGCAGGGAGGGAGCCAATTTTTTTTCTGTGGCTCCCCAGGCTGGCACCAGCTTTTTCACAGCCCTCTTACTACTCCAAGTAGAGGGGGCAGCTGGGAGAACACCTTCCGCCAGACCCGTCTGCCACCTCCAGTGCTGGCATGACCCTGCTGTGCATAGTCACCAGGGTGCCTCCTTCGGCCACCTCCTATGGTCACATCCCTGTCCTGTCTCTGGACCTCTGAGCAGCTGTTCACGCTGTGGGCCACCCCTTCCTCCTCCCCAGGCTTCTTTCCTTGTCTTCCTGGGCACCACTGCTCCTGGCTGTCCTCCCACCCACTGGCTGCCACTCCCTAGTCTCTGCTGACAGGTCTCAGCCTCTGTCCATCGCTCAGGTAGGAGGGCCCTGGGTTCAGCCGGCTCCCCTGCTCTTCAGCTCGGCATACCCCACTTGCGTCTTTGTCTCTGGCCAGCTCTGTCTCCTGAGCCCTGACTCCATGGCTGTCCAGCTCTCTTCTGGACATCTCCACTTGGATGTCAGGGGGACTCCAGCTCAGCCAGTCATAAACTGAGTGTGTCAGTGTCCCCTCAAATTTTCCCCTTCTCTCGCAAGTCTTAACACCCACTCTAGCATGCTGGCACACAGCAGGCTCTCAAACAGGTGCAGATTGACGGAATCCTGGGTCCCCCAGCTCCCTCATGCCTCCACCACATCCAGAGTCGCTGGGCCCAGGCCCTTCTACCACCTAAATAGTTCTCAGGCCTGCTGACTTCCAGTCCACCTGGACGGTCACCACCCTGGTCCAGGTGTCACCTCTCACAGCGGTACAATCCTGGTAGTCCCTCTGCTTCCATGCCATTGTCCACACAGCAGGGAGTGAGCTTCCTAAGACAGTATTTCTCCCTTCAAGGCCTCCCACACACCCCACCCTGGGCTGACAGGGCAGGTCACTGGCTTGGCGTGCAAGGTCCTGCATGATCTGATGCTGGCGCCTCCTTCTCGAGTCTCCCTCCCTTTCTTGAGCCAATTGAACTTCTTTCCAGTCCTTGAAGGTGTCCCTGGGCTTTCAGAGCGCAGTTCCCTGCCCTGCCTGAAACATAGTCCTTTCTCCTGGGTCCCCATCCACCTTCCACGGCCTGTGATCTGACACCAGCAAGAGGTTACCCCGATTACTCTTCCCTTCCACCAGTGCGGCCTTTAGCTCTATGTAGGGAAGCCGGCTGGAGGGAACCTGGACCATGAATTCCAAGAGGGAAGGACCACGTCTGCCAAGAGCAGGGCCTGATATATAGCAGGTTCTCAATAAACATTTATCAGGACAATGAGTGAATGAATTAATGAGTGACCTGATAAAAAATGGGGATAGATTGGGACCTCCTGCTTGGATATCTGGGGTTCTGGGTTTCTGTTCCCAGGCCAGGTCTGCCTCTGTTAATGTCCTTGGGCAGCACCTTTGGGGGAGAAATCCAAGATGCCCTAGGGATGACCCCAGCCAGAAACCTTCCCTGTATGGCCATCTTACAGATGGGAAAATTGAGTCCCAGAGGGGGAGGGACTTGCCCAAGGCCACAAATTATGTCAGTGGCAGAATCAGGACTTGAAACCCAGGGCTGTGTGACTCTGAAAGTGCATCTAGCATCTGGCCACCTGGATGGGCTCAGCAAGGGGTGTGCCCCTCACTGGAGGGAGACAGGGAAGTAGAAGGATGCAGGTTGTTGGCTTCATCTCTCAGGGTGCTATTCCCAGGATAGCCCATCCTTGACATCCTGGTTACAGATGCTGGTTAGGGGCCTCAGAGGTAAAGCAGACCACAGGTCTCGAAATCTCAAGCTCTGGGGCCAGAAAGAACATAAAGACATGAAATGGGCTGAGTGTCAGACAATAAGGAGTGGTGAAGGCTGTGTCAAACATGAGAGAGCAAGGTCTGTATAAAGTGTTCCAAATTCAACATAAAAAAAGGCATTGTAAGACCCAAATAAAACACAGCTGTGGGCCCCTTTCAGCTCTCAGGCCATGAGTTTTGGCCCCTAGATAGGCAGTCGCATTGCTTCCTACAGGAGCTTCCTACAGAGAGAAGATTCATAACCTCCTCATCTCACTATCCTCTTAGGAGGCCTCCACGGCTGTAAAGGGGATGAGAGAAGGGTGTCCCAGGTGTGGGGAGCCCCAGGCAAAAGCCCTTTTCATCCTGGAAAGAAGCTGCAGATGCCAGAAAACAAAGGCCTGGAGAGGCGCGGCAGCTGGGCCTCAGCATAGCCTGGCCGCCCGAGGCTTACCTTTGACCAGGGTGTGCTTGTCCGTGGGGGAGGAGCGGGCCAGCACTCGCAGCTTTGGCCAGATCTTGTCGATTCGTTCCTGCTCAATCTGGAGAGGGATGTGGGAGGGGGTGGGTTGGTGAGGTTGGGGAGAGAAACTGAGGCCCGGAGAAAGGAGGGGACTTGCTTAGAGTCACTGGGCTCTTGGCACACTGGCTGGCTTCTGTACAATCATGCAGCTCCCGTGCCTCCCGGCCCCCCATCCGAGCTCGTCCCTCTAAAGACCCTTCGCTCTGGGCCACGTACCTCCCCCTTCTCATTGCGGATCCTCCGGTTGAACTCCTTGCCCTCAAGGCACAGGAAGTCCTCCCCAGGGTGGATGATGCCACACTTGATGGCGATGGCCCGGGCTGTGTTGATATTGTCACCGGTGACCATGCGGACCGTGATGCCTGCCCGCTGGCACTTTCGGATGGCTTCTGGGACCTGGATGGGAGGGCAGGGGCCATAGGGGTGGAGCCACCTTGGGCAGGCACTCCCTGCCTTTATGGATGCAACAGTAAGCCCTGCTCACAGGCAGGTCCACCGAAGGGGCCCTGATGACCAAGAGATACTGATGGCACATGGACCACCTCCTCCTGTCCTGTGCCCATGGCAGGCATTGTTAATTGATCACAGCACCCTCTGATTAAATACTCGTGTGGTCTCAGAATTCTCCTCTGCAGAGTCCCAGGCAGCTGCCACCTATCAACTGTGATAGCCCATCCTAGGATGAAACCCATGGCTATCCTAACCTGGACAAAGACTTTGAGGAACACCCCAATAAATACCCCCTCAGATCTGACCCCCTTCAATCTACTATTGAAGAGGATGTTGTCTCTGCTTTATCCACATGCACACTTTCTGAAAACTCAAGGATAAGTACATTCATGTATTTTCAGGATTTTTTTTTTGGGTGGGACATTGCATTTAGGATCATTTTATTTACAGACTGTGACATTGGCTTAAAATAAATGCAAATGATTATGCTTCATATAAAATATGACATTTCCCTGCGAGAATAAGAACTGCCTCCTGCCCTCTCTGTCATGAGAGACTGATGTCTGGGCCAATCAGAAGCCGACAAGGTCCTTTCCCCTAACCCTGACCCCCACCGCAACTCCCACCCCTATGTAGTGCTGTGGATTTCCCCGGCAATTAGGATATAAAACCAGCCTGGAACTGCCGGGGCCCTTTATACACAACACTGGTCAACTGAACAAGATTCTTACCCACAGGCACTGAGAAATAATAAAATAAGGCAATATTTGCTGCAAAACATTTTTGAGTGGGAGAGGACATGTCAAGGACAGAAAACCCTGTGGTATTTTAGCACTGTGGTACTAAAATACCAAAGCACTTTAGACTCTCAGGCCTGAAGGGACAGAGTCCTATTCCCCATTCCTCCTGTACATCTTGGTGCCTGGGAGCTGTTTCCACCCCAGAAGTGTCGCAGGGAACTAAGAGTGTCAAGACTGTTTTGGGCTAAAATGTGTCTGCCTGCCTCACCCCCTACTGATACACTGAAATCCTCACCCCCAGGACTTCAGAATGTGACCTTACTCGGAGACAGGGTCTTGAGGTAATCAAGTTAAGATGAGATCACTAGGGTGGGCCCTCATCCCGTGTGACTGGTGTCCTCATAAAGGGGAAATTTGGACATAGACGTGCACACAGCGAGAAGGCATAGGTAGAATAGGGGTGATGCTGCTTCACACCAAGGAGTGCGGAAGACAGACAGCTGAGCGCCGGCAGCAGACAAGCGGCCTGGAGCAGATCCTCCCCTCATAGCCTCAGAGGGAGCCAGCCCTGCCGACGCCTTGATCCTGAACTGAGATAATGCAGTTCTGCTGTTTGAGCCACTCGGTTTGCTGTACTTTGTTACAGCAGTCCTAGCAAATACGAAGAGTTAGAATGTTGGTCCCAAACCTGACTGTTGACAACTCCTGCCCCTTGGTCCCCTTTCTGCCCTGAGGAGTTTAAGAAGAAAGAAGTATCTGGTCACTGTGCACCCCATCCACACCGCCTGCTGCTCCTTCAGCCCAGAGCACCATCATCTCAAGCCAGGGTCACTGCGCACGCAGCCCCTCCCCAGTCTCTCTGCCGTTGACCTTGCCCCTCTTACTTATTCCCCCTACCCTGACCATCAGCGACCCGCCTGAAGCTCAGCCTGTGGTGTCACCCTCCTTCCGGGACTCCACCCGGCCGCCTGTAGAGAAAATCCAGAGTCCTGAGCACAGCCATCTTGGGGTGGAATGCGGAATGAGTGCCACAGAGGTGGAGTCCAGGTCAAGGTAAGGAAGCCTCTCTAGCCACCAGAGACCAGCTCTGTGGTGTGAGGTAGTGATCTCCCTGCCGTAGAAGGACTAGAGCAGGTGAGCTGATCATGGCCTCTTCTGCATGTATTTCCAGGGCCGAGGAGAAGCTTTCCGGGGCCTACGCAGGGCTCGGGGCCCACGTGAGCAAGGCCTCTGCCTCGTGCCATAGCCAGCTGCTCATGTAAGCAAATGTGACCTCTTTTTATGGAGCTGGAGGGAGTGGGGACATGGAATGTCCAAGATCCCTTTTACATAATTTATCATGTCCTCACAACGGCTGTAACCGGGCTGCAGCCCCCTGCTGACTCCTATCCCAGAGGACAGGAAGGAGCCGCTATTCTTTTGGGAGCACACACCTTTATCTGGCTCCTGCCCCGAAAGGAATAATTTAGGTTATGTTTATTTCAAAGACGTTTGAGGCCTTGGAGTTGGAAGGGGCTTTAGGTCAAGACCCTCTGCTCATTGCCTAGCTCTCTTCTTAGGTGGCCCTGACAAATGGTTGGCCAGCCTCTGCTTGCATGCTTCTGATGATAGGGTGCTCACTTCCTTCAAGGCTGATTGCTCCCCAGTGGAACAAATCTATCGTATCCTCTCACACAATTGTTCTTTTTTGAGGTAAGAAAGCCATTACTCTGGATCAGACCTGAACTCTGGAATGGAGGCAGGGTCTTTGTCTTTGGTAAAGATCTGTACAAAGAGCACAGAGGAGGGTGCTGTTACTTTAGAAGGAAGTGAGTGGGGAGAAGAAATCTGTGAGAGCTTCCTGGAGGACAGGATGTTTGAGCTGCTTCTTTTCAGCCAAGACTAACTGAGGCTCTGGTCCCTGGCACTCTGCCCTGGCGGGGTGACACAGATGACCACTTCTTTGTGGTCCTGGCTGCAGAGAACTGTCTTGTGAGGTGCACAGGCAGAGAAGGTGGGAAGGGTGCTGCAGATGGATTGCTTCGGTTGAGCTGGAGGGGCTGAGGCTGCGGGAGGGTCTGTTGGCCATGAAGCAGGAGAGAGGCCGGAGGTCCAAAGGTACCAGAACCAGGGACTTGCTCCTTCAGGCCTGGGAGCCATGGCAAGTTCTGAACTGGGAATAAGATGATTTGGGCCATGTTTTAGAAAGGCTTATACTTTCAAGACTGTCTCAGAGAGCTAAACTCTGCCTGCCTGGAATCCCTACCCCGTGGACCTCCCCCCAAGCAAGCCGGCTTGGGAGAAAAAAGAGGAAGCTAATTTTTATGGCCCCTACACTTTTCACTGTGTAGTAGAAGCTTCCCTGCCTCGGGAGAGGGCTCAGGGACCAGAAGGCTGGGCTGGGCTTCGCCTTGGCGTCCCACCCGGACCTTGGTTTCCTTGACTGTAAAATGGGGATGATCGTCTCCCCCCTTCAGAGAGGCTGGAGAGTTCTGTGACATGGGGCAAACAGCACCAAGCATAGGGCCGGCAGATGCTGGTGGCGAGGGACAGGGGAGGCTGGCAAGACCCTTCCCTGAACTTTAGTTTTCCTTGCTTGTTCTTTCTATTCCAGGAGGGATGGAGGGATGCAGAAGGGGTGTGCGGATGCAGAGGCAGTGCGGGTGGGGTGCAGCAGGCGTCTGGAGGAGCAGGTGTGTGGGTGGTGGGTTGGGTGGACACCCCACCATGACTCCTGGGTCAGGGACCTTGGGGGCCTGTGACCTGCCTCAAATGTTGGGGGATTTGAGTCAGACCTGGAAACACCTGAGGAGCCTTCCCAGCCACCTTGAGATACTCCACTTCTTTTCTGGTCAGTGGCCCCCTCAACTGGACACTTTTGTCCTGCCCTGCTTTACGCTCTCGTGTGTTATGCACACACACTTCCCCCAGACATTTCCTTAGGCTGTGGGCTCTGGGTGGGGGGGGGACTGCCAATCGCTCAGAACCCTCGTGGGGGCCTGGCACAGAGTAGGTGCTCCCAAATGCGGGGCCTCACAAGCCATCTTTGTGCTTAAGTCCCTTGAAGCCTGACCATGGACATGTGATTTTATACAGAGCCAGGTGAATGGATTTGGACGGGGACTGCAACCCTTTACAATTCAGCTCTAAGCTCCCTTTCTGGTATTTTCTCTCAGAAGTCCAACTGGGATTCTGTTCACTAGTCCCCAACACTTAGCATCCCTTCCCACCTCTTTGTCTTTTCCTGTGCTGATCCCTCTGCCTGGAATGTTCCATCTTTCATGGGAAATGCTCTCTACTCATGAAGTCATCCTTGATTCCGCTAACCCAATGGGACACTTCCTTCAACTGCTCTCAGTACTTCCTTTTATCGCTCATTCATTTATTTATTTGACAAACAACTACTGAACATCTTACTATTTTTGGCACTGAAGATCCAGAGATGATTAAGACTCAAGGCCCAGAGGCATCAATCTGGTTGAAGTATGCTTTCTACATAGATAAAATAGCTGTAAAATTGAAAAAAAAAATCCTTCTTTTGCTAAAATTACCCTAAATATTTCTCACTGAGGAAAAACAGCCAGGAAATGGGCGCTTCCTGTTTTCATTAAATAAAGGCTTTTAAACATCTGTTGTTTCTGGTGACAGCTGTTGTCTGTGACTCCAAGGACTCCAACACCCCCGGATAGCCCAGCGAGCCCCAGACCGCTGCTCTCCTGATGGCTTTATCCACACTGGCTTCAATCAGCCTCAGAAAATGTACCCGAGGTAGCATCTTATGGTGGGGGTTTTTGGCAAGACTGTTTTTATTTGTTCTGTCTTTTGTCTTCATGAGGGTGGAAGGGTCTGAGATTCGCCCCCTTGACAGAGGGGGAACTAAGGAACCAGAGTTTGCTTTCCTGTGGCGGCTGCACAACGAATCTGAACATGTTTGTAGGACCTAGGGGTGGTCCAGGCTGAGGTTTGCACCCTGGCTGGCCTCAAGGTTGCCCAGGAGAACTTGACACAAGTACACGCACCGTAGGCATAGATACTCCCCAAGGTCACGCAAGAAACTGGTGACAGTGGCTGCCTTTGAGGTGGGAACCGGGAGACTGGGGGTTGTTTGGGGGGCTACTTCACCCTGTCTATGCCATTGAGCCTTTGATTGGCTCCACATGCATAAATTATCAAGCCTAAAAAACAAATAAAAAACCATTGCTGCTGGTCTCCTCAGGCCCTGCGTCCACCCCTGACCCTCTGGGAGATGATGAACCAACAGGTCAGAGCTTTTATACCTGCAATGGTATCACCAGTAACCCTGCTACGCCCTTCACTTGTGAACACCCAACTTTCCACCTGTTCAGATGGGGAACTAAGGCCCAGGGAAGAGATGCCCCTGAGATCTGCTGTGAGGGAGCGGCAGGGACAGAATTAGAACGCATGCTTCTTGACTGCTGTGTCACTCCAGTAAGTCACTGCTCTCCAACACAGCACACGGCTTCTAAATCCACATCCCAGGGTGAGCCAAGGTGAGAGAGAAGGTCACCAACAGGGATGCGCTGACGGAGGGAAGTGAAGAAGGGCTAAGTGTAGGCCTTCCAGTCAGCTGGCTCAGAACGTCAGAGCCTGGCAGGGACCTGAGTGGCACCTGGGCCAAGGTCCCATTTCACAGACAAGGAGACTGAGGCACAGAAAGGGCAAGTGGCTTGTTAGCGAGTGGTAGGGTTGGGGCGTGGATCCAGGCCCCCTTTCTCCACTGCAGTGGCCTCCGGGATGAAAGTGTATCCAGCCCTGCTGGGTGGGACAGCACCCTCCCCCCACGGTCTGCACCTGAAGCCAGTCTCTGGATGATTACACTGTTAGCAGAAAATTCCAGGGACCCACCTCAGTCCTTCTCTCTCCTCTCCTCACCCTCCTAACTTAGGCCCACTTGCTCTTTCACTTTTGTGGCCCCCAGGAGAAGGCCTGGGAGAGGAAGGCAGAAAACCTGTTCTAATCTGGATTCACTCAGCCACGTAACAGAGAGACTTTGGGAACATCACTTCCCTGTTTGGGCCTCAGTGATTTCATCTGCAAGTTGTGGGTGTATAAAGGTATTTGGACTAGATCAACAGTGCAAACCTTTAGTGGATTATGAAATCAGTTTTGTGTGTGTGTGTGTGTGTGTGTGTGTGTGTGTGTGTCTCCAGCATTTTAAAAAAGAAAGAAAAGAAATATAAGAGAATAGAAAATATTTAAGTGCATTACATTACTTTGTGAAATTCTTATTTTGGTTAAGCATGTGTGCTTATTGAATCATAAGATAAAAAAGTCATGGCCAAAAAACTGTGTGTCTGATGCTGTTTTCTACTCCACCTTAGGGTGTTTCCAAGGCAGGGTGATGAGCCAGGAGCCCTGGGTGTGGGGACGACAGGGGGAGTCTGAGGATGGGGAGGACAGGGGAGCCACAGGCTGGCCTTGTGAGCTGTGCAGGGACAAGTCTCCGTGGCTTGTAAGGAGATACGTCATGGCGCAGCCTGAACCCATTAGCAGTTGGTAATGAGCAGGAATCCCACAGGGAGGCTGAAAAACGGCCTGTCTGTCCAGGGAGAGATGCAGTCTACAGAAAAACGCGTATGGGCTCTGGGGCCAAGCAGCAGGCCACAGGCTGCCTTTGCTGTGCTGGGCTCTGGGTGGGAGTGAGGAGGCGTGTGTGTGTGTGTGTATAAGATGAGCACCAGGTACATTATTGGGAGACTGGGGTTCAAGTCCCATTCATTCTCATTCATTAATTCCACCAACACTTATACCTTAGGCCAGATTCTGTGTTAGGGCTGTTATGTGTCACTGAATCCAGTGTAATAAATCTACTGAGGAGGGTCAGAAAGGAAGGGGACTCACATTTATGGGCCGCCTATCTTGTGCCAGACACCTTGCCTGTTGCTTGTATATATGTACAGGATATCATGTCTCACAATATCCTGGTGTGTGTGAGTGTGTGAATGTGTGTGTAGAATACTATAGGGTTGTCAGAAAAGTCAGGATGTATTTTTTCTATGTTTTTCAAAGGTCATTTATTTATATAAAGAACAAAGATCAATCAATGATATATTGCCTGTTTTGTTCAATAACCTTTTGCCATCTTTCAGTGAGCTTCATAATTTCTCATTCATAGAAGAACCTGTCTTTCTCGGTGAAAAACTGAACAAGGCGCTATTTACAGCCTCATCTGAATTGAACGTTATACCATGCAAGGAATTTTGAAGAGAGTGAAACAAGTGGAAGTCTGACGGTGCAAGGTCAGGAGAGTATGGTGGGTGTGGCAACACATCCCATCCAAGCTCCAATAATTTTTGATGGGGGATCAAACTTGTGTGTGGTCTTGTGTTATCACGATGGAAACAACTCCTTTATGATTAACAAGCTCTGGATGTTTCTGGATGATGGATTCGTTCAAACTGTCCAATTGCTGACAGTACACATTCGAATTGATTGTTTGGTTTCTTGGTAGGAGCTTGAAAAACACAACACCTTTAAAATCCCACCACACTGAGAGCATAACCTTCCTCTGATGCATGTCTGCTTTCGATGTCGTTTGAGGTGAATCATCACGTCGGGACCAAGACTGTTTGCTCACCACATTTTTGTAAACAATCCACTTCCCATCACCAGTTATCAGTCCTTCAAAAAAGGATCGTTTTCCTCATGTTTAATGAGCGTATTGCAGATGTTTATATGCGCCGTCAAATGAACTTCTTTGAGTTCACGCGGAACCCAAATATCGAGCTTGCTTATGTATCCCAGCTTCTTCAAGTGGTCATGAACGCTTGAATGATGGATCTTCAATGTTTCTGCAATCTCTCATGTTGTGTAACGTGGGTTTGACTTGATCAATGCCTTTATTTTGTCGTCATCAACCTCAGTGGGCCTCCCTGACCGAGGAGCGTTGTTGAGATCAAAAACACCAGCACAGAATTTCGTGAACCATCTTTGGCACTGACATTCTTGTAGAGCATTGTCACCATAAACTTTATGCAACTTTTCACAAGCTTGATGCGCGTTCTTCCCTTTATGGAAGTAAAACAGTAAAATATGGCGAAAATGCACAGTTTGTTCTTCCATCTTCAACTTGTTGTAAAATCTCCAAAACGCAACCAAATCACTCAATTTTTTTTCAGAATGAAGCTAGAACTGTCAGCTGTCAAATGACATAGCGATAACATAGATGTAAATGACTCTACTACTTCCAAAAATGAACTAGTGCCATCTGTTGCAAAAATGCATCATGACTTTTCTGACAACCCAATATTATTATCATCCCCAGTTTACAGATGAGGAAATGGAGGCTAAGACAGGTATGTAACTGGTCCAAGGTCATGTAGTCAGTAATGCTGGGACTTAGGATCCCAGGTGTCTCTGATGCCTGAGCGCACACTTTTGACTCCTCTCCCTGCTGCCTATACGTGAAAGTCCATGTCTGTGAAATTCTAGTTTCTCTTGGTCTTTGGAACCAACATCGGGGCCAGGAACTTGGTGAGCATCTTGTCTACCCACTTTCACTTGAAAGAAGGGGAAACAGGGCCTCCAAGAGGAGCAGGGAACTGTCCAAGGTCCCTAGAGAATGGTGTCAGGGCAAGCAGGGAAGACTGAAGTTGCCCTTGGTGGAGGAAGGTGGTCCTGGGGGCCCTGTTACTAAATCCCACATCCATGGCCAACCTGGACCAGCCAGGGCCTGGCTGGGGAGGCAGGCCTGGACCCAGCAGCTGTGAGTCTTTGGAGGAAGGGAAGGCCAGCCCTTCCTGTGCCTTGCCTTGTGTCCTGGGATCTGACCTCGGGCCCCACAGGGTAAGTTGATTCACTCTGCGTACCACAGACGTGTTTTGGAGACTTGAGGCAGCCCCTCCTCTTCCCACAGCCTCTCTCTGGCCTGAGTAACCTGACTGACCACGCACATCCCACCCTTCCCCGACCCTGAAAATCCTCAGCACTGCATTCTTGGCTCAGATTCAGCTAGAGAAGACTGAAGACCTACTATAAGCTGAGCACCACATTAGATGCACTTAGTCTGTCTCCTACCTGGGTCCTTATGGGAAGGGGTGGGCTGTCATCCCCCTTCCCTTCTGCTTGAGAACCTGCCCTTTGGTTACCTTTCTAGCTCTGTTCCCCTGGAAACTGGATACAAGTAGACTGTCAGCTGTGTCCCCAGGCAAGCATTCGATTGTAAATTGATTGGTAAACTGGACCTGGATGGGTAAATGCTGATGGGGATGCCACACTTAGGGTTTCCTGAATGCGGTGACCTTTGTTACTCGTCATCTCTTTTGCAGGGACCTTGAATGTAGGCCTATGGATTTGTTACAAGAGATCCTGGCTCCTGTGGGGCAAGAGGCTACTAAGGCAGGGCAGCCCCATGCCTGTCCCTTGAGGGACCAGAGGGAAGGTGTCTGGGTGTTTGGGTGGATGGCTCTAGGACTGCTGGCAGGCAGTGGGTTCCGCCCTATGCCCTATGACACAATGTCAAGTGTGGCTGATGCTGGTCGATGAGTCTGAATGTTTAGGAGCATGTAAGGAGAAAGACCCCTTGGGTGTTATAGGGAAACTGAGGCTGAGAGAGGTGAGGCAATTTATGCCAGGTTATCCAGCAGGCTGGACTTCTAGCCTCCACCCGCTTCCCTGATCTGCTGGTGGGGGCCTACCTCGGGCCTCACGGGGTCCTCGATGCCCACCACGCAGATGCAGGTGAGTTCGTTCAGGATGTCATTCTCATTGTCCCAGTCGGGCTCAGGGTTACTGGGGAAGTCCCGGTAGGCCACACAGATGGTGCGAAGCCCATCACAGGCCATGGGCTCGATCACCTTCTTCACCATCTCATCCCGGTCACGGGGCCGGAAGACCCGGGGCTCCCCTGACCCATCGAGGATTTTGCAGCACCTGGGAATGGAGATGGGAGATGGGTAAGGTCCAGCCAAGAGTCCAAGGATCTTCCCTCTAACAGGCTCGAGCTCATTAACCCCGTACCCCTGGGGTGATTCCATTGTGTAGCCAGGGTTGAGGACCCCTGGGCTAGACCATTCCTCTCAAGGTACAAGTGGGGAAACTGAGGCCTGGAGAGGGGAAGTGACATGCTTAGTTCTCCAGGCTTATTTCTGGCACCTGGAGTCAGAGAAGACTGGCTAACAGTGAAAATTGCCACCATCAGCCAATTATATGCTAAGGGAAGTAAAATAAGAGAGATCTAACGGTGATAATGGGTAGAACTTCCTATCAGTGACTAAGGGAGGAGTAGTGTAGGGCTCGCTAAAGAAATTTTTAAGAGGAAATAATGGAAAAAGCACTGGGCAAAGGGCCCTGGAGGTGGTCTTGCTGTGGGACACTGGGCAGGGCCCTCTCTGTTCCTCTGGGTGCCAGATGGCCCCCCCAGCCTGGCCTGCAGGACCGTTGGTGCTGCACCCCTCGGCTCCCGCCCCACCCCCCGTGCCCCTGCCCGCTCACTGTGCAGCTTACTTCTTGAGCACGATCTCAGATGCGCCCTTGCTGTACATGCGGAAACTCTCGTCGGGCAGCTTGATGACGGTGCTCATGGACTTGCGCACGGAGTTGAAGGTGTACACTTTATACAGCTTCTCCTCTGGCATCTGGCTGCGCACAGGCTCGTAGTCCTGCTTCAGGTCCAGCACGAAGCCCAGCAGGCCGCACTCCGTCTTGTTACCCACCTGCCGTGGCAGGGCGCCCTCCTTCTCTGGGGGCTGCAGAGAGAGGGGGAGGCTCACAGCGGGGTGCCCGAGGCCCGGGGGCTTCTGCTTCATGGTCTGAGGGGTGAGGGCCAGGCCCTGGCTGCCCCCTCTCCCCTCAGCAAGACTTTCGTCCTACCCCCGCACCCTTAGCCCTCTGCATCCCAGACACAATCCTGGCTCCTGGTGCAAGGAGTTAAGCAAGATCAGCTTTTTAAAAAAATATGAGCTATTTCAAACATAAAAACATGATAGAGAATAATAAGAGAAACAGTTGTGTGTCCACCACCCAGCTTTGCAGAACCTTAGCATTATGCCATATTTGCTTCTAATTTTTCTTTTTAAAGAAAGGAAACATGACAAATAACATTGAATCCCCCTGTGTATCTCTCTCCACCTGCATAATCCACTCCTTGTCCCAGAAAGAACCCTTGTCTTAAATGTAGCATTAATCATTACTGTGTCTTAATGTTTTATTTTGAGATCTTTCTAGATTCACGTACAGTAAGGAATAATACAGAGAGCTGTCATCTGCTCTTCATCCAGTTTCCCACAGTGCTCACCTCCCGTATGACTGAGAACATCACCACCAAGGCTGACGCTGATGTCATCAAACTGACCCTACTCAGATTTCCCCGTTTCACAGGCACTTGTGTGAGTGTATGTGTATGTGTACATATGTGTGTGTATGTGTATATATGTGTGTGTACGTGTGTGTGTACGTGTGTATGTGTGTATACATGTATGTGTGTGTTTAGTTCTACACAATGACATCACATGTGGATTCCTATGACCACCACCATGAAGATATACAACAGTTCATGACAAGGATCCCTGTGCCACCCTGTTTATAGCCATAGTCACCTCCCTTCCATCCCCCTCCCTGGCCCTGGCAGCCACTAATCTGTTCTCCATCTCTATACTTTTGTCATTTCAAGCATGTTGTAAAAATGGAGTTATACAGTATGTAACCTTTGAAGACTGGCTTCTTTTTGTCCTCAGCATAACCTCCTCGAGGTCTAGGCATTGTTGCATGTGTCAATAGCTTGTTCCTTTTCTTTTGTTTTTAAAAGATTTTATTGGGGAATTGGGGGAGGGAACAGTGTTGGGGAATCGGGGAAGGGGAACAGACAAGTTGCTGTCCTTTTGTTCTTCAGTCTAGTTGTGGAGGACGTCGCTTCACTGGCCCATGTTGGTATTGTGATCAATGCGCTCTTCCCGGGTGAGGCAGTTGCTTGCTGGCCATTGGACAGCCGCTCACGGCGGCTCACAGCAGCTCATGAAAGTGTACGCCCACTGCTGGCCAGCCCCACTGCAGCCTATGCCGTCACTGGTGACTCACGGCAGCCCAGCTCCAGGTCGAGCTGTTGCTTACCATCTTAGCTGTAGAGGGCAGTGTCACTGGCCCTCATGTGGGATCCGAACCGGGGCCCTCTGGCCTCCCAAGCCAGCTCTCAACCAACGCGCCACTCGGCCGGCCCTAGCTTGTTCCTTTTCACTGCTGAGCAGCATTCCATGCTATGGAAGGCCCATCCCTTGTGATCTCAACTTAGGTTCAAGCAAATGGAACTGCTGTTTTTGTATTTCAAAATGGTCAAACATTGGCAATTTCATGTAGTTTAATTTGATGTATGTCTGTCTGTATGTGTGCACATGTAGTGCTGTCTTGCACGTTGAAACCTTCATATAAGGAGGCCGTACACAGTCTTCTATAACTTTCTTTACTCATGTACCATCACCTTTTTGAGAATCATCCGTGTTTAGGGTGCTAGTTTTAATTGTTCTATGGGTTCCATTCTGTGAATATGCCACAATTCACTTCTCCATTCTCATTCTTCCTCCTCTTTTTCTTCTCTCCATTCTCTCATTTGGTTCACACTCTTAGGCACTGGCTTAAGTACTAGCCTCCCACCAAGTGCTGGGCTGCATGAGTACCCCAAGCCCCTGCCCAAAGACACTCAGCGAATCACCCAGCACATTGTCCCCAGCACGTCTCACTTCCTTGGGCAGCTGCCTGAACACGAGCTGCTTCGTGCCTCTGCACTTGCATCCCGGCTGCTCCCTCCTCTTCCCCGCCAGGCGAACCCCTCCTTGCCCTTTAAGGGACAGTTCAAATATCTCCTTCTCTTTGAAAACTGTTTTGTGGGGCCTCAGTTTCTCCATCTGTAAAATGGAGAGACTTGAGCAGATGATCTCTATCCAGCTGAGAGAAAAATCAACCCTTTTCACCACTTTCCTCCACGTGGACGGTGGTGAGGGATGGTAGAGTAAGGTAGAGCTGCATGGGTGGGGACGAGGTTCAGAACGTCCTCCCCGCTCCCACGCCATGCCGACCTGTCTCCAGCATCATGAGCCTTGGAAGGCTCCCCAAGCTCTTTGGTGGGATTTGATCTGAAAGGAAAGGAATCTTTGATACAGATTCCCATTTCTAATATTTGGGAAAATAAATTCTAAGCACTCCCCTTTGTATACTGTGATGTTGTGCTTTTAAAATTTATATATTTACTTACTTTTTACTTTAGTTTTTTTTTTTACAATTTTATAATTAACCTTCTGGTGATTTCCAGAGTTTTATGTATTTTCCATAACAGTTTTTTTCCCCTTCCACTAATGAAAGAAAATGACGACACAGAGGACTTAAATAAAAATGCCTAATTACTTACTTGCCCAAGAGAGCTGAGCAGTTATGCCTGCAAAACACCCGGCATTTTATTACCCTCTGTGAAATATTTTAATTTTCCTCTAAAAGGATTTCAAACAATCCATGGTTGCAAATGGCAGAGCTGCCTCCTCCGTAATTCAATTTCTTTCCATGAACTTGAGCTCTGAAATCGCCTACGTGCATTACTGACAAGCAGGGGCCCGCCCCTTTTCTCTCTCTCTCTCTCTCTCTCTCTCTCTCTTTTTCTTGACAAACCCAGAGATTTTGCTGTTGCTATAGACTTTCCAAGAGCCTTTTGATCTCCAGGGCTCCAATACTGTAAGAGATTTAAAGTGTGGGTATTGTTCCGGTTTTGATGGATGGGAAGCAGGCCCAGGAGGGAAGGGACGTGCTCATGGTCACTGAGCTGCAGAGGGGTAGGCCTGTGGCTTTCCCTCAGCCCCCTGACTCCCAGTGCATCCTCCATCCAGCACAGTTCCCCACGTGGGCACCAAGCCCTTTGGGGGTGCTGGGTGTAGCCACAGACTTAGCTTCGGGGGAAAATTCGTGCTCCTGTGTTGGGCTACTGGGGAGTGAATACAACCAAGATCAAGAAATGATCAGTTGAAGAACTACAAGCTATAAGTAACATCTGCAAAAATGAGATTAAGAAATGTAGCTAGCATGTACCACCTCACACTCATTAGGATGGCTATTACAAAAAACAAAACAGAAAACAAGTGCTGGTGAGAATGTGAAGAAACTGCAACCCTGTGCACTGTTGGTGGGAATGTAAAATGGTGCAGCTGCTGTGGAAAACAGTATGGTGGTTCCTCAAAAAATTAAAAATAGAACTACCATATGATCCAGCAATTCCACTTCTGGGTATCTACCCAAAAGAATTGAAAGCATGGACTTGAAAAGATATTTGTACACCCATGTTCATAGCAGCATTATTCACAAGAAGCCAAAAGGAAGCAACACAAGTGTCCACTGACAGATGAATGGATAAACAAAGTGTGGTGTATACATACAAGAAAATATTATTCAGCCTTAAAAAGGAAGAAAGTTCTAACACATACTATAACATGGATAAACCTGAGGACATTATGGTAAGTGACATAAGCCACTCACAAAAGGACAGACAGGCGTACTGTAAAATTCCACGTATATGTTGTACCTAGAATAGTCAAATTCATGGAAACAGAAAGTAGGATGGTGGTTGCCAGGGGCTGGGGAGAGGGAGAAATAGGGAGTTAGTGTTTGATGGGTTCAGAGTTTCAGCTAGGGAAGATGAAAAGTTTTGGGATGCGTGGTAGTGATGGTTGCACAACAGTGTGAATGTGCTTAATGCCACTGAACTGGGCACTTAAAAATGGTTAAGAGAATACATTTCATGTTAAGTGTATTTTATCATAATTAAAAAAAAAACTTAAAAAATTCCCCAAAACAACCCAACAACTATAGCATGGTAGACGGTAGCTATTGCAACACCATGTTTCTGAGTGTGTTAGAAAACACCTTTCTGCTCATTGGCTGTCTCTGGTGGCCTCGCCTCCTCACCCCTCATGGACAGACACTGGTGGGTAGCCTTCCAGGATACCCGATGAACCACCAGCCAGCCTCCAAAGCAGCAGCAGTGACCATTTTTTGAATGTAGACTCTGCTCACCACTTTATTAAGCTCTTCATGTGCATCATCTAGCTGTATCCTCCCAGCTCCCTGGGAAGCCGACTGCTATTATTCTCACTTTACAGTTGTCCACACAGAGGCCCAGAGAGGTGAGGTCACCCTGCTCGTGAGTGGCTGAGCTAGGATGTGACTCCAAATGTCCCCGGCTCGAGCCCACAGCACAGCTCTCCCAGCAGTCCTGCCTCTCTTCACTAGCTTGAGATTGTTGGGGATTGAGAATCCGAGAGGGAGAGGCTGTGTCTTTCTTGCTTATCTCTGCCTTCTACTGTGGGGTAACCAAATGAATGAATGAATACTTTTGTGTTTGTGTGTGGGGTGCTGCCAATGGGAGGCCAGATGGGATGGAAATGTGTCAGAATTTTGGCCTCCAGAATTGCCATCTAAAGGCCTGCCTCCTCAGGAGCTTCTCAGGTGTCAGGCCTCCTGAAGAGCATGAGGTGGCAGAACCATGCCAGCAAGCCACAAGATCCTTCCCAGAGGCTGGGAAGGCAGAGGTCAGTGTGGGGGTCCAGGACAACAGATCAGGACAGGCTGGAACCCCTGGGGAGACACTCCTGGAAAGGAAACCCCTTGGGGACCTTCCCAAGCTCACCAATGCATTGTGCACGTGTGTGTGTGTGTGTGTGTGTGTGTGTGTGTGTGTGTGTGTGTGGTGAGTGTGTGCAAGGTGAGGGGGTGGGAT